GCAGTACCATGGTCATAACAGAGTATACTGTTTTGCCCATGATACTTCTCATGCGTTGCCATTCCTGAGGACTCAGGTGTTAATCCTCTGTACACTGTAAATTCACGCCATATCTCACCCTTCAAACCGAAACACAGCCATGCAAACACAACTGCTTCACGGTAGACACACGAATGGGACAGAGGTACCCAAGCAATCGACTTTTGTACAAAGTCTCCCTCTGGTATAAAAGGTTTTCAAGGTATAAACAATATAATAAGAATTTTTAAGGGAGTTTGGCCCGTACCCATCCCGGAATTATGTATGTTAGTGCTCATCATTTCATAGCAAATAATTTTAAATACTATGTTACGATCCCTATTTTTATTTTTATTAATTTGTTTGCAATTTTTACATAAAAACGCTACTAGGAATACTACGAATTCTGCGAATAATTCTATGTAATTTCAGAGTTTTCAACCAAATTAAAAAAGAAGAAGGTTCACAATCGGTTGTATATTATTATATTTATTATTTCATAACTCCATTATTTATAAGCCGATTTGGATACTCCTAAAATTTTAGTAGTCCAGTTTTTTAATCAAAATATCGAGTTTCGTCACAATTGATGTTGGTTTTTTGTAGAATACGATCTCAAATAATTATAAAACTTCGTACAAAATATATGATAATCCTATACATCGAATTCATCGATAAGTATGTTTTCACATGTTATGTGACGGTACTTGTTTTAATAATTATATCAATTATTTAGTGAGCAGGTACTATATATATATATACAAAAATGATACATTAGTCCACCTCCCAAATAGTATTAACACATTTCAGCTTTTTAAATGACACGTAATTATTTAGATATTGTATCCGCACTTTTTAACATAATAACGAGATAACTTGAAATTGACTTAGTTAAACAGAGGCAATTTGTTTGGTGTTTCAAAAATAACATTTTACGAATGTCATCTGCATAACATAATACATCTGCTCGACTAAAGCTGTCAAGAATCAGTACTTGAATGGCTATACTTTAACTTGAAAAGCATAATGTGATACTGAGATGTACCATATTCCTCACAATACAATCTCTGGTACTCATTTCTCCTCATTCATGTCTGTAGACGATGGTCATCACCTTCCGTGGACCGTCTGTTTATTTGTTATTCCATATTGCATGATAAATTACTGTAGAAAGCAGTACTTGATGTCATTTACTTCGTCATTTGTTTGTTTCCTTTTGTAACAAAAATCTACGCTTACTAGTCTTTATTTACGAAAAGATTAATATCACATCAGCCGTTAACTCTCCACTGCTGAACATAAGCCTTCTCTTATTGGGGGATTTAAATTATTGGATTATTTATGAAACAAGAAATAACTGAAAATATTAATAAGACAATTTTGCCTACTCATTCTTCAGAATATTGGCCCCCTTCTATAGGGTATTCAGTAGCCTGTGGGCTTTCTACATGCATAAATTTTCACAGAAATCCAGGATATAATGAGTTTCGTATGGACAAAGCAATAACAACATAGCATAAAAGAACATTTTTCAATTTAACTTAAATTTTAAAAGTAATTCAATTATGCACATGTATGATTAGTTCGCTAGCAGCGGTTTGCCCAGTAATGCTGCGTCATACATTCATTTATGAAACGTAACTCCCGCGTTTGTTATCGGCCTAAATTTTAATGCAATTTAAATACACTGAGTTACTGATTGCTATATTAATTTCTTAAACACGTATTAACTTTTCTTAGGAGTTCTTTAGTGTATTATTATAAATATATTACGAACTAAAACGTTAGGTTTAATCTACATCGGACATTCTCAAACTTACCACATTTGAGAATTAATTATTTTCTTCCATTTTCTATTTTTTTTTTTTATTTTACTAGACCCATCTTAAAAATGATAGCATTATCTACTTTAATTTTCTTCCGTGTACTGTACATAAGTCTTATCCTGTTTCTAGGTTCAAACTCAGGTATATTCCAAATAAGTTTGTTTTTATGAATGTAATAACACAAAACTTTATAAAACAATATTTAACAAATCGTAAAATTTCTTTGTGTCCTTTACTACTCCCTTGTAGATCTCAAGCTCCTATAAATTTAATGATGAATTAATTATATATGATTACATAACTGTACAATATTAATAAACAGTGTATATTTATCTAACAACAAAAACACTGAACACTCCACAATCAAGCATTCAGTAAGTACCAAAATCAAATGGGCATAAATAAATAAATAAATGGCACCACAATCTCTTTGCAGTAGTAATAAATCAATATTTCTGTTCAATTTTTCCTTATGAACTCTGGATCTTATGACGACTGTTTTTTTAGTGAAACCGTTAACTGCTGAACATAAGCCTACCCTATGTGGGTTGCCAGTAGTTGCCACGCTTGGCAGGCGGATTGGTTTGCAGTTATCCTAGTTAGGCTTTGGAGATGTTTTAAGAGGGACGCTGCTGCCCATGCCTCGCCCTCCCTTTGTCGCCTCTTACGACACCCACGGGAAAGTAAGGGGTATTATGTCTATGCTGGGACCACACGAAAATTGTCAATATTGTTATCTATTAATTTCAAAACATTTAATATGAATAATTATGGTTGTTATCACATTCAATCAGTCTTTCGGACTTTGGTAGGTATTTATGGTACATTTCTAATAACAACCTTTTTTCTATTACAACTAGTAAATAAGTTTTATCTACAAATCTACTCATTCTACTTATAGGTACATATTTTTTGTAATAGATGACAATGGAATTGTAGCCCCGTTTGCGCTATCGGCATACGTTGAAAAGGCACCAGTGGGTGATGGTAGGTGAGAACGAAGGCAAGTCAGTTAGTTCATCAAAGTTTCTAGGGAGACCGCGTGGAGATCGACTCGAGAGTGTATATTACTAGCAATAATGAATTATTTCCCAATCACTAACAATTCCTTCCCTACAATCAACAAAAAGTAGGTAAATTTAAACATTTTTAAATATTAAAAAAGTCTTTTTTTAAATATTACTAACTTAACAGATGAGGGGGGGAAAGGATCGTTAGTAATAAGTTCTAACAGCTATTGCTAACAATATACTCAATCAGGTCGACCTCCACGTGGTTCCCCCTGGAAACCGTAAATTATTGTCGAATATGGGCCTTATGCTATGACCTGCCTATGCCTGTCAGGCGGGGCTGTCATTCTTTTATCATCCAATAAGAACACTTTAGTTCTCGAGTATTTTAGTAGTAGAATTCACGCATGAGTGATATCATAAACGCTACTGCCAATAGTGCTGATAGTGTTAGTAGGCAATAGTTACTTACATTAAAAATAATTACTAAATATTAATAATAATTAGTTATATTAAAAAATAATTTTAAAATATCAGGTATAAATAGGCAGATATTTAAGCACCCTATTAATATTATAATCCTATTAATATCAGAAATGCGTAAGTTTGTAAGGATGGATGGATGAATGTTTGTTACTTTTTACGCAAAAACTATTCTACGTATTTTAATGAAATTAATAGTACACAAGTACGTTATATTTGCCGTATAGTCCAGGCATAGAATAGGCCACCGCTTCCTTTTCATTGGGTGTCGTAAGAAGCGACTAAGGGAGCTTAATGAGGGATGGGCAGCAGTGTCCTTCTTAAAACATCTCCAAGGCCTAACCGCGGTTGCCGACCTTTCTGCCAAGTGTGACAATTATTGGCTTAATTCCCCAATAGAGGGAGGCATATGTTCAGCAGTGGACAAGTAAATGCTGATATGCTATGATATGGGTAAATTATATCCAAACTTAACACATAGGACACTTTTATTGACCAATTTACGCAGGCCAAGCCACGGAGTACAGGTAGTATAGTAAATAAATGACAATGTATTAGTTACAATATTTTAATCTATTTATTTAATAAGTGATTAATATGATAAGGTACACCTAAGTATTTATATGTTATAAACCAATCGTGCATGGACTTATCTCACAGTGACAAAAATTAAAATTAAAAATATTTAATTAAGTTTGAATAATTCAAATATTTCTGACAGTTGGTCGCCATGATTATTTTGTGATTGACGAATGCGACGAACTGAATGCGAAACGACCTCTCATACCATGTAATAAAATTTCTTTTGTACATATAGTGAGGAGTAAAAATAGATATAATATCATTCCTTTTTATCTTTAAATATTATAAGAGGCGACTGAAAGATCGAAATACCTATAATACCAGTGTAATAGATGAAAACTCGAAATAAAATCTATACCAGGCCATCTGGCCAGCTTGATAATAAAAGGTTAATTATCATCATTTTAAAATAACAAATTCATAAAATTACTACTTAATTAGGCAATAAATTTTATTGTTATCTTTCTTTTTTACCCATGTCTAATAGCTGCTTGTAAATAATGGTATATTATTAATGTATTTTTCTATTAACATTATAAATGTGAAAGTTTATAAAAATGTTAAAACTGTTAAAAGTATTTGAATGAAATTTGATACACTAATAGGTTATATACTAACTTAACACATAGAATAATGTATATACTTACTAAATTAAGCGGGCAAATTCGCGGATTGTGCAATTCGATATCAAAATCCGAGAATCTTCATCGTCATCCACCCAAAGTAGTCCACTATATGTTTTTCGTCTTTCATGTGTGTTCTCCGGTACACATCACATCATACATCCAAACGTTTTCAATATTTTTTGGAAATAGCTCGCCATCTTGTTAGGAGGCGCCCTACATTGCGCTTGTTTAAATACGGTTTCCACTCCAGAACCCGTTTGTATAATAATATCATCAATTCAGCGATAAACGTCCTAGATAGTTTTTGGGAGTATTAAATACAGCTCTCAAATTGGCAATCACATGTATGGCAAATCTAATCTTGCGTTTTGCAGCACTCCTGACGAACCCTAATCGCTTTTATCTATTAATAACAAAATATTTAATATATGTTTGTGATCACATTCATTCAGTTGGTATTAGTATTTCAAATAAGAACCTTATAATAAAAAAAGACTTTTTTTATATAAAATTTTATTATTTATTTATTTTTAATATTACAATTATAGTACTTAAACAATTAAAATGTGCGGACCATATTCGTGTGGCATCGTAGTGACGGCAGTTGGCGCCGCCCTAGTATTCATAACTGCATTCGGTGGTTTTGTATTAGTACCTGGAATTGTAGAAAACACAATTATAGACGTAAGTATTAAATGAAACAAAATATTTATTGTGAATAGTTAGAAAAATCATCCTATGCACATATATAATTGACAATATTTTTTGCATCTACAACTAAAAGTTTTTATGCTACGAACTTCAGGGATCTTGGCTAAAGATCCCAAGATTGACTCCCGGTTAGACCAATTACTGGATTAGGTTACAGTTTGTACCCTCTGTTGTTGTCTAATTTTTTATAACATTTAGTAGAGTTTTTTTTTTATATTTAAGTACTCAATTTGCTTTGTAGCTGTTGCCGCGTCAAATCCATAATATTTGCTAATAAGGTACTATATTATACTTTAAAAATAAATTTTAATCTTGTGACTTAAATTTATTACTAAAATTAATACTAAGGTATAATTGTACAATCAACACTTAAAATCAATGAATATATTAATTTAAATCCTTACACGCAGTTAGAATAATTATTAAGTCATTCAATTCTAAAGCAAATATTCCTGAGCATTATAATACGAGTATCATAGTGTTGAACGTTAAGACGTGCACATGAGTGCGCAACCTTGTTCAGGGAATTGGGAAACCTATATACATATTAATCGTTTTAGTACCTACGACTCCATTTACACTAAGACTCATTCCAGTTGTCAACTTTTAAATCTATATACAATACAACAGCATTTATATCCCGAAGCTTCTTTCATATAATATTACATGTGTATGAGTGATTTCTATCGAAATATCTTTTTTTTTTCTTTGTAATATGTCTCGAAGTTCGGTGTGCCTCTTGGCAAAGGCCTCCTCTAACGATTTCCATTGCTTTCTGTCTTTTGCAACTCTTCTCCAGTTGTAACCTACAGTTTGTTTCAGTTCATCCTCCCACATTTTGCGTTGTCGACTTCTATTTCGTTTCCCGTTTCTAGGATATCTTTATACCTAAATCTGTACTGTACACCTAAATAAAAATCATTTGCTGAATGCATATAAGTGTATTACTTTAGGGCCTATTTGACTAATTGTTTTTTTGTTGTGTTTGTATTGTCAGAACTAAATATGTATAGAAGAAAAAAATTCGATAATTCGTATCCGTGCGATATCGAGATGTGGAGCTTTTTGATAATTGTTTTTTAAATATTTGTTTTCCATTCTTCAATTTCTACAAAATGTACACTAAAAATAAGCTTATATATTTTTTTTTATCTGTTTGTCAGTTGTCTATTTGTGATAACAGACTTGTTTTTCTAATATATCTAAAATAAATCACCTAATATACATATATATTAGATGTATCGATTTGATATCACATCACGAAAAATGGTCAAAACAATTGATATATACTGTACACGTTACGTACTTAGATAGCAAACCGCTTTTATCAGGTTCAAATTCCGTGGGAAAACAAAAGCTGTCTTAATTAAAGGACATATCTAAATAATAAAAAACATAGATGAGTTTTACAAGTAAACAAAATGCAAAGTCTCACAAAGTATAGGACTCGTGATAGGACAGCTTGAGTGTTTTTTTCTTTAACTCCGAAAATCGGCATATTCATACACGGGCGGGGCACTGGTGAGTGATGATAGGTGAGGTTGATAGCAGGTTGGTTGGCCCATCGTGATGAATTTGACAAGAATTAATTGTCCGATAGTAAGTGAGAAATTCACAAGAAGTACACCATGGTGGTTACCAGGAAAACCACATGGAGATCGACCTGACAGGATGTACTGCTAGTTATGACTACCTGCTAGATCCCATTATTGTTCATTCTCTAACGTCAAGTGTTAGACCAGTCGTTGCGAATACTGTGTACAGCATGTTTTTATAACAACCACAGGACGGAAGAGATTGCTGGTAATGGGGTTTGATTGCTAGTAATTTACTCTGTCAGGTCGACCTCCTCACGGTTTCTGCTGGGGACCGTTGTAATTTACTCCTAGCGAATTTGTACAACGGTCAACTGACCTGCTTTTATTCTTATCTATTATTCCTCACTCGTACCACGCCAGCATGGACCAGCAATGAATGCGAGGTTACCATCTCTTTATCATCCATGAAAAAAGTATATACCATACATAATAATATGTTTATCCAAATAGATTAATTGACTCACAGTAAGTAAGTAGTTATATAAGATGTAGCGGTCATTCATATTACGGTTGCTAAAATAAGAGACAACCATGCTCATATTAAATCATAGATAGACATGCATCGACGAATGTATTAATTAAGTTACACGCCCTCATGTGGATTATCTGACAAAATTAATCGTTAAATAATTAGATTCAGGCATCACTTTTTCTACAATCCTAGACAGAGGAGTCCTGGGGGGAGGAGATTATTAGTAATGTATGGAGTCTAGCATCCCTATTTTCTATAAATATATCTCATCAGGTCGACCTCCGTAGTGATCCCTGGAAACCGTAGTTAATTCTTGTTCCTTGAGAATTCGCTATGATTGAACAATTGACTTAACTCCATTCCCGTCGTTTTATCCTTTACGTACGCCATAAAAAATCAAACAAATGGGAAACAAAACTGTCGACAGACACGTTTTCGTTATAACTCTCATGAGAAAGAACAATACTCGGATATTGCTGTCTCGTTCTATTTAAATGTGACACGTTAGTTCCTACAGGCGTACAGTAGCGATACGTATGTAGAAACAGATTCATGTTACTTGTGTATGGAAGCAAGGCCATTAACCGATCACCTATATAATAAAAATAATCGTAAAACTGTCAAACAATTATCGCAATAAATTACTGTAATAAAATTTCTGTCATTAATTCCAATTACCTAGCATTTCGATCAATAATTCTAAAAACAAAGATAAAATGCACGTAGTAGGTATGTACTTCGTATTTACATCTGAAGCTCTCATAATATACCATATAATATACCAGACGGAGACTTTGTACAAAAGTCGTTCGATTGGGCACCTCTGTCCCATTCGCCTTTCAGCCGTGAAGCAGTTGTGTTTGCATAGTTGTGTTTCGATTTGAAAGGTGGGATATAGCAGTGAATTTACAGTCTACAGAGCAATAACACCTGAGTATTCAGAAATGTCAACGCATGAGGGGTGTTATGGGCGAAACAGTATACTCTGTTATGTCCATGATACTGTTCATGTCTATAATACTGTTCATGTCTATAGGCGACGGTTACCACTTTCCATCAGGTGGATCGTCAACTTTTTTGCCATTCTAAGTTGCATAAAAAATAGCTCTCATAAAAATATAAAAAAATTGTTGGATGGTTTCGGTTTTAAGGGTACATAGAGTGGAAGCCATCGTGGTTGATTCTTTATTGAATTTGTCAGAACGGGCTAACTGACCTATTTTTATTCTCACCTATCGTCCCCGCCTCCCTAGCGGCGGGGTTATCATATGAAATGAAATGAAATGAATTTATTTGCATTAAACAGTTTAAAATTATTACAAGCCACGTGGTATTATTTTGGCACCTGTTTAATTGCCTTAAAAGACGTAGGCACACAAATATTTTACATTTTATATAAAAAAAAACCGGTAAACAAAATTATAATTCAATTACATTATTTTAATTGACCTTACATATTAAAAGTCTAGATTATAGTACATTATGTCAATTATACATATATCTACACATAACAACTAATACAATAAATTTAAAAAATAGAAAAATGTCAATAGAAGTGGTAAAAAATAATTAAAATGTCACGCTTAACACTCAAGATATTCCTTAATACTATAAAAAAGTTTATCCAAAAGCCATTTAGTTAGCTCTTTTTTAAATTTAATCAGAGGCAATACCTGAATGTCAGAAGGTTACCCATTAAATATTCTTTGTGTCATAAATGAGACGTTTTTTTGATGTATCGTTAATGAACTTTTTGGGACAAGTAGTTTACTTTTTCTCTGTGTCCCGACTTGTGCCTTTATGTCCCCATGTGTTGTGAATATACAGGATATTGCTTTACAAATATACAGATTTCTAATATATATAAGCAAGGTAAGGGGAGTAAATCAAGTTTCTTAAATAGAGGTCTACATGAGTCACGACATCCAATATTACAAATCGCCCTAATAATTTTTTTTTGTGCTTTGAAGACTCTGTCGATTTCGGATGAGTTCCCCCATCATATCATTATCACCTATTAAAAATATGGTAATATGATCAGAACCTGGACGTCACAGTGTAAACTGTGATGTCTACAATGAGCTGCTAGTATGTTCGCCTTTCCAAAGCGTATACATAAAAATAGGCTTCTAATTTTATCCAAACAAGTCATAAATTAATTGTCCTTTACATTCCTAAGTATTGAATACCTTTGCAGACAATAGAACATTCCTATCCGTTCAGCCATTTAAACGCAATTGAGTAACATACTGATATCTTTACAAACTTAAATAAATAAAAACTTAAATCTATAATATTAGTAAGATATTCTATTTAATTGTAGAAATAAGTGTATAATGTTTTTTTTTTTTTAATTTGTCAATTATATTAGTGTACTCATAACATAAATAAATAATAAAATTACTTTGAATTTATGAAACACAGTGATTCCGTATTACTAAGTTGATCATTTTGATTTGTCCTTTATACTTACCACTATAGACCACCCCTTCCCGTGGGTGTCGTAAAAGGCGACTAAGGGAATTGAATCGTCGAAGGATGGGCAGTAGCGTTCTTCTTGAGACATCTCCATAGGCTAACTGTAGTTAACCCCCCTTATGCGGGGGGAAAGGGATTGTTAGCAATCGAGTTTAACAACCCCATTGCTAGCAATATGCCCCAATAGGTCGACCTCCACGTGGTTCCTCCTGGAAACCATCGTGGACAATTCTTGTTGAATTTGTCACGATGGGCTGACTGACCTGCTTCATCCTCACCTATCATCCTTTACTGGTGCCCCGCCGGTGTATACCGATAGCGCGGGTGGGGTTACCATTCTATTATCACTCATTAAAAAAACCCCTTATAAGGAAGGTTAAGTTACAATTTAAGCCTATGTTCAGTGGACAGTCAACGGTGGATATGATGAAGATGATGATGCTTGGATTCCTGTTGTGTACCACAGGTGACATTTAGATCGCCCCAAGATAATTGTTCAGACATACATTTAGCAGGAAGTATATAAAATAATAAAAATTTCTTTTTCAGACTGTAGCATTAAAAGATGACACGGAACAATTCGAAAGATTTGAAGTTGTTCCGGTTGCCTTGAACTTCACTGTTAGATTGTTTAACCTCACCAACCCTGATGAAGTCCTCCATGGGGCAGTACCAATAGTCAATGAAGTGGGACCATATATTTACACGTAAGTTTAATTCCTTTAAACAATAAATGACGGATAGACTGAATTCGAAATCATTACTAAATTTGGCGCCTCCCATACAAGCTTAAAGGCATTAAAGCTAAGATATAGGAGTCTGATCAGTTTTCTAATACCAATCATACTGCAATATTTCCTTAAGTAGATATTCACGTTAATTTCATCCAATAATAAAAAATACATTTGCTCACCACTATAATTCTTAACGAGATAATCAGAGGCAATTTTTTACTTCTATTATTATTGTGGTGAACGAGCCTAAGATGCTGCAGCTAACTTCTGCAGCTGTAAGAGTTTTAATGAAACTCAATTAAAATTAAACATAAGCGTAAATATATATGCATTTCGATTAATTACGTTTGTTATCGTCGATTTTTATCGCCCAGTATTTATGCAATAATAACGCACACATTTCTACATAGATATGTAACGTCATAAAAGATAATTTATTATATCAAATTTAATATATAAACATATACCTAATTCTATTTATCTGATTATACCTTTTTTTATAAATATCTATTTACTGCAAAAAGTATTAATTAAATAATTGTTTTCGCCGGTTAATATAATTTTAGTATTTTAGATTGAGGCTAAAATATTTTTTATGCAACTTAACATGGCACACAAGCTGACGGAATAATATCATGTATTTAATTAATTATTTATTTCAATTATTCATTGCTTTTGGTTAAGCCCGATCCTGAAGTTGTAAATTTTAAAATAACTAGATAAAATAAAGATAAATTGTCTTAGTGTTGTACACGTGACAATAAAAATGATACCATGCATTTTATTTACTCCTACTATTATTATTATAAGTAACAATGGGGTCCATTCCGAATCTGCCATTTCTCTATGTCTATCTCTTAAACTAATATTTTAATGTAATAGTTTCGGAAAACTACAAGTTTGTGGGCTATTATAAATTAAATTTTTAATTTAATTTTGACTCAAATCTATTAGACATTTAGTTCATATTGTTCCTTATCATATATATTTCGCTGTGTTATCGAATTGACATTTTTAATTAAAGAGATAACTTCAGAGAAATTGTGAATCGATCTCCTAATGTCACTACCTGTTAAAATTTTATATAGTAACCCCTTATTAAAATACACTCATCGAACAAACACACTAAACGATTACTTGAATAACAAATATGCATGGTGTTAGTCAATCATGCACGGGTTTTAACGACTATCTAATTTTAGATATAGTATATTTAAATAAATACACATAATGTTAAAAGAGATTTGTAGGAGTAACGGGTGAATGTTTGCACTAGATTTAAAAAAAATACGATTTATAAGCTTGTAAATAAATTTATTTGAGTAAAGATTATTTGAAATTGAACTTATTCATAAAAACTAAAACCTCCTAAAAACCTACTTTATTACATTGTTTTGTCACTCATTCAAATTAAGAATTCAGTACAAAAAAAAGAGATAAAATAGTTCAATAGCAAAAATAGGTTAATGAGAGGTTTGACATTTTTATGAATAAGGGAGTTAATAAATGGGGACATAATTTCTCTAATGTTAATGATATTTAGCGTAGATGATGCGGGTTTAGATCTCGTGTGATTCGATTTTTTTATTATCTTCGACGTTACTGTATTATTCTATATCATGCATACACTGCGAAAATGTATCAATAGATTATCGTTTATTATTCTACTTATTGCACGATTTAAAGATATTAAATCTTGAAAATATTTTGCAGGATGGCCCAAAAAAGAGTTTTAGAACGTATTGAAGAAGATAAACTGACATACCACATATGGAATGATATGCAATTTGATCCGGTGGGATCGTACCCACATACCGAAGATGACTTAATTACCATGCCAAATGTACCATACCACGTAAGTATTGCCATCATACTGTTTTAAACAATTAATTTTTTAAACTATTTCCAATTATATAAACTATTTCTGTATAATGTATCCTTTATTTGTGATATTATTTTTTTAGGAAAAATCCTTATATTGTCTTTTCTCCTAAATTATAATTCTTAGTATAGAATATCTCTTTATCACCATCATCACCATCATCATCATATCAGTAATTATCTGTTCACTACTGAATATAGGCCTCTCCCAAAGGAATTGTCTCGAGCCACTTGCTTCCACTGACTTCCTGCAATGCATTTGAGATAGTCACTTCATCTAGTGGGGTAGCTCGTACTGCACTGCGTTAGTCCGTACGGAGTTGCCATTTAAGAACCATTTTTCCCCATCGGTTGTCGGTTCTTCAAGCTACATAATCAGCCCATTGCTACTTCAGTTTGCTTATCCTTCAGGCTATGGCGTTCTTTTCTTTATACATATTAAAAATTAGAAAACTTTTTGATAAGAAAAACATTTATTCTTTTATCATGATTGCCTTACTTAACAAATAGTGGTACTAAGTGTTAAGTAAGACAAACACAGATTAGGTGGCTATTCAAGGATTAGGAGAATTAAAATTCTCTTAATCCTAAAATAAATAAAAAAATAATAGATATCTATAATATTATGCGAATTGAATTTCTTTAGTATCTACGTTTATCTCTGTTTTTTTAAAATGTTGCTCGTGTTTTTCAAATTATTTTATTGTTTCCCTCATATTTTTTTGCTAATTTACCTACTTAAAATAATACTTTTTATATGGTAAAAAGGAATTATAAAAAATTCAATTCAATTAGCAAACATCTAGTGAGGAACATTAATAAATATATATTTAATTACCGCACTTTCACGTGATCATTTTAGCGTGATTATTACTTTTTATTTTTGCCAGTTATTTGTTATTTTTTTTTATTTATGATTTTATAGATTATTTGTAATGTATAAACTCAAAAACTATTTAACCCATTTTAAAAATTCTTTCACGATATTATAGAAAGCTATAAGCGAGAAAAAAATATTAAATGGACGCTTATAATAAGACGTGACACATTTATATATAGACATAATAGTAGTTATAAATAATTGTTCTATGATTAGTAATAGGGTTTTTTTTGGTGGGTGAAAATGGTATGGTAACCCCGCCTGCGTTAACGGGATACGCTGGCGGAGCACCAGTGAAGGGTGATAGATGAGAATGAAAACAGGCCAGTTAGCCCATCATGATGAATTCATCAGGAATTAACCATAATAGTTTCCAGGGGGGACCGCGAGGAGGTCGACCTGGTTGGGTATATTGCTAACAATGGAATTCTCAGTCTACATTACTAACAATCCCTTTCCATCCTAGTAATAGGGTGCACTACAAATGTTTTTTTTTTTTTAATTATCATTTAGAAATGTATTTAGCTCTTAATCCCGGGGAGCAGAGTTACTAATGAGGAGCTTAGTCTCCATTGCTAATAATATACCCTATTAAGTACACCACGTGGTTCTCCCTGGAAACTATCGTAGCTAATTCCTGTTATATTGGTTATGATAGACTTACTTTCTTCCTCACCTACCATCTCTCACTGGTGCCCCGCCAGTATACTCCTATACCGTTAGCGCAGGAGGTCAACCATGCCATCATTAATAAAAATCCCTTTATTTTCTTCATTGCCACAATCGGAAATCTCCATTTTTAAAATGCACTATATATTTTTCTTTGCTATGCGAATTAAAAATAAAAATTATGCTAATGCACATATGTTATTATTATTGTTTGCTTACGCTATGTTTTCTTTTTAATTGTGGTAAGTATTGCGTAGATATAAGTTATATTTATAAAGTAACTATTAAGATACTAAGTACTAAATAGTTGCTATAAGATTTATTTATAAATTACTATTAAGCATCAATTAAATAATCTGTGCCTGGAGATAGGCACAACTTCAGATAGCTATATTGGGACATAAGAGAATCGTAATGATTATGATAAAAAGTATTATCCTAAATGAAAATAAAATTTTGTGAACGACTGGTTTGATTTGAATATTTTTTCTTAAATATTCATAATATTCCGAAATATATATATATATATATATATATATATATATATATATATATATATATATATATATATATATATATGCGTGTATGTGTGTGTGTGTGTGTGTGTGTGTGTGTGTGTGTGTGTGTGTGTGTGTGTGTGTGTGTGTGTGTGTGTGTATATATAGTAACTTATCAACAAATAATTCCCTTTTAATTATCTCATTTTTTTATACACTTGATTTTTAAACTATACACAATCATTATTGCTTCACCAACATCACGATACGATCACAAATTTATTGAAATTTGGTCAGAATAACATTTTCTAGTGCTTAATAAAATAGAACATTGATTTGCTCAGAACACGTGACAGCCCGTGTAGGATTGCGATTATTATAATTAATCGTTGATAAATAAGTATTTACGTCCGGTGCTACTACACTTGCTGTAACATCAACGCAACTAGTGCTTATTACTTATTAAACAGGTAGTTTAAAATCAGCAACGATTGACGTATGAATACTGTAGCGGTAATTAAAATGTCTTCATTATTACAATTAGAAAAATAACCTGTCAACTTTGTATCGTCGCGCGGCGGTTTTTTTTTTTTTTACGGATCCTTTTATTCGTATCACGCACAGGTGTTGAATTAATTTAACAATTAAATCAAGTTTACCACGTTTTTAAAAACCGGCCAAACACGTTTTGGACTCGTGTGATATAGGGCTCTTTATCCAGTATCTACGGAATTTGTTAAATTTCACAATCTGAGATACATAATATATGTGTAGTTTGCTAAATATACGTTTGTTGCATTTCGATTGGAAACAACGGTTTAATTAATATGATATATTAAACTCGATTTACGAGTGAGTCTTTGTAAAGACACTCGATTTTTAATCACTATAAATATTATTGTATACCAATAAGTTGATTTTTAGAATTTGAAACCTAATAAAATATGTATCAAATTGGTAAAAAAGTATAAAGAAATAAAAAAAATGAACTGGTCCATATATATTGCATTGTTTATAATGTCAATTGCAAAATTCAAAATTCAGATCTATTTCAAAATTTTTTCATAGATTTATTAAAAAGATAAAAGAATGTTTTATAGTATTAAGTCCGTCTTTTGTATCAACTATTTTTTTGTAATGTGATCAAAAAAGAATAAAACGTAATATAAAAGATTATAAATAAATAAAACAATATAAAATCTATTTAACGAGTTAATCACAAAATAATAGATACAAAATTTTGGTGTAATTAAAAATAAGCATCTATATATTTGAATCAGGTATTTATGCTTTCAGTTTTTGTTTATTATATATTTTGTTGCACGGCCAACAATGTGTGTGTTTGTGTTTATACGCACGATGTATAGTGATAATTTTATTTTATGTCAAAACAAGCAAGCATAGGCATAGTGTAACGTACTCTTATAACCTATGCTAAAACCTAAGACCACGAAAATTTTAAATATCTATTGTTTTCATATGAATCAGATGTTTATAAATATTTTGGTAGTTATTTAAAAAAGATAATGGTTGATATGAAAAAAAAAAATAAAAGATTAACATACTTATTTTGTTTATCACGTAAATGATTAACGATAAATATGTAATTGTCATTAAGGAAAAATTTATGATTTTATCTTATTATCTTTACGTAATAATGCGAAGGTCATTTCTTTAGAATATCAGGGTTTAATTAGAAATTCCATAAACTGGACTGCCACCACACGAAGAGATTAACAAATAAATAATACTTTATAAGGTTATAAAATTATATTATAAGATAGGTATCATATAAAGTAATTACTTAAAATAATCATTATGTTTGGCATTATCATAATGTATTTGCAATTCTTTTACTTACAGTCGCAAAAATTACACACACACTAATGATTTTTATACAGATCGGAATTGAAATCGTTAACATTTTTGAAAATAATCTTCTTTTTCTAATGAATAAAAATGTAGTAAGGTAACGCCGCCTGTGCTATTGGTATACAAGTGAAGAATGATAGGTGAAACTGAAAGCAAGTGATCGCGACAAATTCAACAAAAATAAACCACGATAATTTCCAGAGAAACCGTGTATAGGTCTCATACACGGACATTTCTTTGATAAAAATATTCATGGGAATATCTTTTATAAAATAAATATGGGCCGATAAACAACAAATGGATGTCATTACTTTCATAATAACATGGCGTGTCTAGCTGTTAAATTAGTATGGGAGATTCAAAATTTTGTGTAATATATGTTCCGTCCTAGTATGTTAGCATGTGTAGATTTTTTTTTATATATACATATATGTGTGTATGACGGGCTTAATGCTAAAATCATTCTCTCCCAGTCAACCATAGGGAAGTGTTAGAATACTCGAATGCGGTACTAGTAATTATTAATAAACATACATACTAAAATTACATATATAAACGAATAAATATATAAATAACAAATATACTTACACATATATAAAATATACTATATTATACACGAAATTGAGAATAATATAAAGTACTTACTGCTCGGATAAAGTAAAAAAGTGAGCATAAACGTTTTTTTTAAAGACGGTTTAGTCGGTAGATTATCAGTTTTACGTACTGCTAATGACATTAATTTCACCCTGTATTGTAACTATCGTCTATTACAAAGGAATTACTATAATCAATAGCCAAAACATATATACAACAGCAGGAAATACATATATTTGTTGCACAAGATTATTCAGCGAAATAACAACTCATTAGTCGATAACCATTTATATACACGTGCATTCTGTACCTAATTCCAATGTAGAGTAAATTTCCAAATTCTCATCTAGCCAAACACAAAGCAGATAATTAATATCTGACATGTGCAAAAGGCGTATGGAAATATGTATGGAAATTTGAATTTCTAAAACCGTCCATGTGCAGCTAAGATTTCAACACGAATTTTCGACGTTAGTTACATGAAGTAATAACGTTAACAATGTCAAATAGTTACGTTAACGCAATAATAATGCAATTTTGTATCAAACCAATACTATTCAGATATATTCCCAAAATTCCTTTTGAGCTGAAAGAGTTGTTTGCTGTACTTTAGACATGCCTGATAAATGAGGATTTTTAACTATATTTTATATATATATTTTTTATATTTTTGGGCAAACGAATAAATAGTCTATAATATTTTTATATAATAAAACTTTTACTAGAATAACTTACGTAGGTAATGATAAAAAAAAGTATTCGATTATAAATGTTAATTAATCAGATTAACTCTGCATTATCTAATCTTTACTAATATTATAAAGACAAAAAATTTATTGTTTGTTTGTTATGAATGAATCCAAACACTACACAATCATTTTTAAAATTTCTTCTGCCTATAGAAAGCTACATTATCAGCGATTGACACAGACTATATATTATTTTCGTAAATTCTATCGACCCGTGCGAAACCGAAGCAGATTGCTAGTGCTTCATAAAATATTTTTTTTTCGATACCACAAAGGTGGCAAACAAGCTTATACCCCTTTTGATGGTAAACGGTTAAGCCTGCAACATTAGAGGAGTAACGTGCGCATTGCCGACCCTGAACAAATCTTAATATACTATTTTTGAAAACAAAAAATAATTTATTCATGAATATTTTTTACTTAAATTCAAAGTCTTTATATCGCACAAGAAAAACCTTGAAGTAAATAATATTTCGGCATAAGCATTTTTACAAATATTAGTTGATCAGGACTCGAATTTGTATTGATATTATATCAAACAGAAATTTGAACAAATGTTTCATTTCATTCCCATACTTTGTATGTATTATAATCACTTGTTTTCATTATTCGTATTATACTTACCACACATATTTATTTATAAATTCATAAAAATCCAAAATCCAATATTCTAATATCATTATCCTACGGCTAATAAATGGAATTTGTAAAAACGTATTATAAAAATCTATTAGATAGTACAATTTAAATTTAAATAAACATTTAGTTGATACAATTCACATATAATTAGAAGGAAATTTCTTATCAGAAGTTGACACCCATCTCAACTTACAATGTGCATCTGTAAATGTTCACATAAATATGAACTTTATTGACAGTACCTATCAAATACTTTACGATTAAACTTGAATAATTCACTAATTCACCGGTTTGTTAGTTTTCACATCGCCAGCTGGTTGATTCCGCGAATCGGTCACATTGTTGAAGTAACTGTTATTGTTTCCCATATATTTTATTACAGGTATCAAGTATTATATATCTGGTAGGTACACTGTGCATCTTTCGTGACGCAATTGTTAAAGAGAATTCTAAATTAGATTCTTTACCTTTTGATCTTAATTTATAAATTATATTGTTTTTATTCCATGACAAAAAAAAATGGGGTTTATCACCGCTATTGCTAACAATATATCCTGTCAGATCGACATCTACGCGGTTATCCTTAGAAGCTATATTGTTTAATTTTTTCTTGTTGAATTCGTCTGAATGGGCTAGCTGACCTACTTTCATCCTCACCTATTACCTCTCGCTGATGCCCCGCCAACGTATACCGATAGTGCAGGCGCTGTTGCTATTCCATTGGCATTTATTTTGCGTAATATGTATCATTTATATAAAAAAAATTAAGTCTAATTTGCCTGAGAATAACACATACACTTAATATTTCCGCTTTCCTTTTAAAACGGTGCTTATAACTGAGTAACTTAAGAGTTAACTAATTATCTAACTTGTTAATACTAATATTAATGTAGTTTTAAACTCACATCACGGTTCTTCGCAAGTTTAGGGCTCTACTTCTTTATATTTTGTTGTCTTATTTATGCTTAAGCAGCAAGATAAGATAGTACTTTTGTAACTAATTAATTTGGTCGACAGGAAAGATTATTAGTAATGGGGTATAACGGCCCCATTGCTAGCAATATACCCTGCCAGGTCAACCTCCACGCTTTATTCCCTGGAAACCATCGTGGGTAATTCTTGGGGAATTCGTCACGATGGGATAACTGGCCACCATCTCACCAATCATTCTTCCAATATTCAGATAGAACAAGTGGAGTCACTATGTTATTTTCATCCTTTAAAAAAATCTTAATTCTATCAGAACACACATATACAACATCTGTCGCAAATGTACTCAACTAACATTTAATGTCGGAGTTTAGATCTTATTAAATTTCAATTTTACGTATATAGCCATAGTATATATTCATAGTGATGGAAAGAAATTGTTAGTACTGCGAACTACCAGTCCCATTGCTAGCAATGTACCCTTTCAGATCGACCTTCACCTGATTCTCCCTGGAAACCATTGTGCTGAATTCTAAGTGTATTTATCACGATGGGTTAACTGATCTGTCTTTTGATCCTCGCCTATCATCATACACTTGTGCCTCGCCAGCGTATACCGTTATGGAGTTACCATTTCATTATCATTTATTAAAAAAATATATACATATTATAAATTTCACTATACAGCAATATTACTAGACAATAGTAACATTGTGTCTAATTTGTTTTAGGCTGTACTCGGCACAACTGAAAGTACCGTTCCAAACCTGATGTGGGCCATAAATTCAGGAATCAACGGTATATTTGGTGAATACGATCAACCTGTAGCAACCTTTAGAGTAGGCGATATACTTTTCAAAGGTGTGCCGATATGTAAGGACCCTATTGCGGTTAGTGGGGTTGTATGTACTGTAATTAGAAGCATGCTTCCCGATATTAAGAACATGGTTTTGGAGAACGACGGATCTATTCTATTCTCACTATTCGCATACGTAAGTTTTTCAATTTTTAACTATTTCTATCGCCGTTTTATTGCAGTTATTTTGTGTGAATCTTTAAATTGCAAATAATCTGATGACCCACCTGATGAAAAGCGGTAACCGGTGCCCATAAATATTTACTAAACTATCAGGATGCCTGATGGAAAGAATTAGTACTTAGTCACCTGTATGTCTTATTGTAGTTCTGTCACATTTTTACTACCATTGAACGGTTTTTTTTTTTATAAAATGAACAATGAATATGTAACGGTAACCACATCTGAGTAAATGATGCATGTTAGCGGGCAGGGTGATCACTTAATCATGATAAGAATGAATGATCTCAGGTCAGTTGGCTCATTGTGATAAGTTGGAACAAACTCCTGGAATTAACTTCAAGAACTCCTTGAATGCCGTCGACAGAGTTGCTTTAAATTTTCCACGTGGTGGTCTACCTGACTAGTCACCCACCATCAAAAAGTTGTCTTTACATGGCGGTGTTTCGATTTAAAAGGAGATATATGACAGACTAAGCATGAATGCATAAATGGCAATGGTTACCACTTTCACCAGACAGACCGCCAGATTGTTAGTAGAATAAATATATCAATAATCAATAATATGCAAAATGTAATACAAAAACTGCAATTGCAATGTAGTGTGCATTAAAGTATTTAGAAATATTTAAAAGACCTAGTCCATTACATTTTATTTTAATGAGTATTCAACAAAATGTTTTTTTGTACAGAAAAATATGACCGAGAGTTACCGATACGAAGTTTATAGAGGGATAAATAACATCAGCGATGTGGGTCGCATCATCCGCTACGATAACTTGTCATACTTCAAGTATTGGGTGAACACTAACCCAGGGCAAATAAGCTCGTGCAATAAGATCAATGGAACGGATTCTGGCATATATATGCCGTTTATATCAAGAGACCAACCAATTGAGGCGATTAATCCTGATATTTGCAGGTAACTGGAAAACACTATGCGATTTTACTCGACCCTTTCTCTAACCCTATGTCAACGTTATTAAATTTTAAAGTTTCAATTTGATATCATAACAAAACCTTTATAGTAAAGGCAAATAGTAACTAATTTTTAATAGATTTAAATCAAAATTGTTATAAATCTGGTTTATGACAGTCCATGAAAGAGAAATTTTACAAAATTATTAAATTTAAATATAAGGTTAAGAAATAAGTTTTGAGAATCGGTCTCATTGTTATATGTACGAGTATATGATCATATAAATCCATTTATAATATAACCTTGTTAATATATAGTAAGATTGTGTTCAACAAACAAGTTGTTTTGATTTAAAAAAATAAACTACTGTTTTTGCTAAAATTATAATTAGACGAATCTGTAAGTCGGGTATCCTTTCAGATAAAAAAGAATTTTCCGATTGGTTTACAACTGACGAAGTTATGAGATAACAAACATAAAAAAAAACGAATAAACACAACCGAATTGTGAACCTCCTTCTTTTTGAAGTCGGTTGAAAATCTCATTTCATGATATTCATTCATAGTAATCTCCAAAACCTGTGAACCGATCTTACTAAATTGTTTGCTCCAAGTTAAGACATAGAACAATTATTGTCCTGCTAATTTGTAATTTTTAATTTTGGACTAAAATTTGGTTTAATCTGAACTACATTACTAAGTTATTCAAGGATTTTTTGATAATTCCTCAGAAACGTTGCTAGTTGGGAACATTGTTTTATTTTTTCTATAATATTCACGTATAGATTTATAAACTGCATATATGGAGCGATATTTTTTCTCACATATTCGATCATTAGCCAAAAATTACGCAGTATAAGAATAAATAAAATCAGTTTTAAAATATATAAATAAAAACTTTTCATATGATTACCCATTTGGATTATTAGCTCAATTTTGAAATTTGGAGTACCCTTTTTGAATCCTCTAGCAAAAAAGATTAAAACATTTTTTTTTTCAATTATTTCCATTGCAATATATGCGGACTAACAATATGTAAAACTATCCAACATTTCAAATCGATAGTGTTAGTAACAAAGTCACACCATAAGGGTTTCTTTGTGATTTTTTCAAATAATGTTCACCAGGTCAGCTAATAGTACTAGCTAAAAACGAAAAAATTCAGCCATTGAAACGTCTGGTGGCAAACAAACAAACTCACTTTTACTCAGTAAGGATAATCTAAAAAAATATCTATATGCAAGCTTCTCGTTTGTGTTACACAAATGAATTTTTTGAACATGGTCAATAACCTTTTGAATAACGGTTTTATAATGTAGGTACACAATACACTTACTGTAATGTGTATTAATTTAATTGTATTAACTGGAACATTATTCATTGTACCATTGTTGGGAAGATACCGTTGAATAGATCAGAAATATAAGATGATCATTATAATAATATTTATACAACGATTCAGAATTAATTGGTACCATTTTTTTTTTTTATTACAACACGCACATGTAAAGGATAATTAATCTACTATATTTTTTAAGGTAAAGGAAATAATATAGATTTATAAATATAATTAAAATCGGTTGTTAGTGTTCTAGCTATATTTTGCTTTATTTTAATATTTTAATTTTTTTTAAATAAAAGACTTGTTGACAGATAGAAAAAGAATGAGTTTTTTTTTTTATTAAATTCAAATTATTATAAATAACAAAAAGTTTTCATGTGCTAACATCAGTTGAAAGGTTTCCGATATAATATCGTGACTCTGGTTAGTTGGCTATTTAGATATCAAGACTTATTATAGTAAATTTTATATGAGAATTCGTAAAATGATTGTAGGTAATATTTATCTCAAATCGATCACAATTATAATTATTGGGATACAATATAGTAATATTTTATTACAAGCAATGGCAATATTATATTGTCATAAAAATAAATAAATCTAGAGTATTACGTTTTCTAGTCTATTAGATATGAGAAAGTTTATAAAGATGTTTGTTGGTACTCAATCACACTTTTTTTTTATTATCATAAAAATACAGAATTACAGAAATTATGTTATATTAGCATTCAGAAACCACGTAGATTTATATTAATACTAAATACATTAAAACTATTTAACTTGTATTAAAATCATGCAAGAAGTATTATTTTAATTTACACTTGATGTTACTAATAGTAATATTATCCCGTACATCGGAGGGAACTTTGTGGGTACTTAAACAGCTGAAAGGATTTGAATGAAATTTAATGCATATCCAGCCCATATTCTCGTCCTTTTGATATAAGTGACATTAATTGGTATATTATAAAGTAATAAATTACAACAAAATTTTTTATAATATACCAATTTTGGTATACAAGTAAATATATTCATGAAAATTCCCAGAGACGTTTTTTTTTTCCATTACGATTAAATATTTACATAAACAAATTTAAATGAAATTTGGTGCAAAAGTAAACCACATCCTATGTTATCGCATTCACAATCACAAATTATAATTAATATTATAATATACATTTACAAAAAAAAAAAACTTCTATCAGTTGTTTAGTACTCATTGTAAAAATTCTGCTTAGTTCCTTATTAGATGACGCTGTGTAACGTAACCTGTGGTGTTTATTTATTAATTTATTTTACAGATCGATCAGGCTAAACTATGTACGCGACATGGAGTACGAGGGTGTCCCAGGATACCGGTTCACCACCGACGAGTCGATGTATGCTGACGATTATGGGTGCTATTGTCTCAACGTCACCAAAGGTATCACCAGACAGAATGGGTGCCTACTTAAAGGCGCTTGTGAACTTTTCACATGTGTAGGTAAGAAAACATTTTTTTATACAACTTACAATAGCAAAATAGCTGGTGGAAAGTTATAAAATAAAAAAAAAATACATACAAACATGAATACTGCTATATCTCCGTACGCTGCTGTTTTTTTATGACACTTAGAATGACAAACAAGATGACAGCCCATCTGATGGAAAGTGGTAACTGCCGTAACGCATGCTCATGCGTTGCCATTCAAGGTATTATGCCTCTGTACCCTGTAATTTCATTGCTATATCCCACCCCTAGATTATATAGATAGAATGTCTCCATAGAAATGCTTCGAGAAAAACGGGTCAACTTTTTCATACAATTTAGCGTGACAATTAATTATGAGTGATTCCTTTATAACTCCTGTATTTATTTTGTCTTATAAATTCTGCATCTTTGTAATATGTAAACTTTCATTTTATTTATTAAATAATACGTCAAGTTACATTTTATGCGTAAATATATAGAATATTAATAAAAAAAAAACGAGTCAGTTAATTTGACAATTAGTTGACAAATAATGGACCTGTTTTTGAGGCTCGATGCTCTATCTATATAATCTTAGATCTCACCCTTTAAACTGAAATACAGACATACAAACACAACTGCTTCACGGCAGAAATACGAATGATACAGAGGTACTCATGCAAATGACTTGTGTACATTTCCTGGTTTCTTTCTTTACCTTGTTCCTTCTATTTCTAAAGAATGTAATTGCTCACTAATACGGCTATTGTACATTTTAATTCTTTATTTATTTTTTGCAATAAAATCTACCAGTATTATAACTGTCACAATTTTCTTTTTAAAAGCAGCATTATCAATGCAAATGGTTATGTTAAGCAAAAGATTTCACTATGTTTGAGTTGTTCAATAAAATACAAGATACGTATCGTCCGCTTCGACATATAATAGAATTTAATGATAATGCGTTAATTAAATTACCAAATTGTCTAATGTTGGACATCAACAGATTATTTTATGACCAGATTATTTACCTATCAACATGGCCACTACCAGAATTATTACAGGCATGTGCATCTACATTTACACACTATACTATCTTATCAATATAATAAAAATTGTAACTAGGCGATATCTGTATATGAGAGATATTTAAACAAATTTAGGTGGTAGAGCCACGCTGTAATACCATATGGTATTGCAGCATGAATGGGCCGGCTCGACCGGGGAAGTACCACACCCTCACAGAATACCGACGCTAAGTGGCCGCACTTTTAGTGCGACCACATTCCGTATGGTGAGTGAGGGAGTCCGGAGGCCCATCCTATACCCATCCCCTTCCTTATCCTAAAATCCTCCCCCAACTCCGTCCCCCCATCTTTCAATACCATGGCAGTGGAATTTAAAAAAAATAACGTACCCCAGGGAGGTACCAGCAGCCATGTTGCTGGAGAATCCTCCCTCGAGCAACCACGCTCGGGCTACCCTGCGTATTCTGGGGGGGGCAAAATTCCGCTCTATGGGACCAAGGGCAAACAGAGCAAGACTTCTGCGGCATCCCCTTTGCTCAATGTGAGCCTCTGTAATATTAGGGGAATTCATTCAAACCTGAACGCTGTCCACCACCACCTAGAAACGGCGCGGCCGGCATTGCTCTTCCTCACGGAGACACAGATATCCCCTCCTAACGAAACATCATACCTGACCTACCCGGGGTATAAGCTTGAACATTGTTTTGTTTCGCGTGCCGGCGTATGTGCGTATGTCAGAGAGGATATCTGCTGTCGACGCCTTGGGACTCTTGAAGGTACGGACCTGTCCATTCTATGGCTGCGCGTAGATTGCAATGACCATCCCCGCATCTATGCGTGCCTATACAGGTCCCACAGCGGTAACACTGAAACCGACCAACTAATTGAGCACGTCCAAATGGCTACAGATTCCCTGCTTGAGCAGATTCCTTCCGCTGAAGTCGTGATTGTTGGCGACTTTAATGCCCACCATGCCGAATGGCTTGGTTCGCGTACAACCGACTATGCGGGAAGATCTGTTCATGACTTTGCTTTGGCTTATGGTCTGACACAGCTTGTTTCCTCGCCTACGCGAATCCCTGATGTGTTGGACCATTCACCTTCACTGCTGGACCTTCTGCTGACCACCCACCCAGACAACTATGTGATCTCCGTCGAAGCCCCGCTTGGATCGTCGGATCACTGTTTGGTGCGGAGCGAAGTGCCTCTTACGAGTCCGACTCCACCTCGTTCTACGGGTAGACGTCGCATTTGGCACTACAGGTCGGCAGATTGGGATGAGATGCGGATTTTTTTCGCATCTTACCCATGGAGGCAGGTTTGCTTCACACTGGATGATCCCGACGCCATTGCCGATTCCATTGCTGATGTGGTGCTTCAGGGAATGGAATTATTTATTCCTAACTCTGTGGTGCCCGTCGGCGGGAAATCCCAGCCCTGGTATGGAGTCTCCTGTAGAACAGCATCTCGTCTGAAACAGGAGTGCTTCCTAACCTGGGCTAAAGGTGTGGCGTCGCGAGATCCTAACACCAGTGCTCTTAAAAAGAAGTATAACTCTGCCTCTAGGTCTTTCAAAAGAGTTATAGCCACAGCGAAGTCAGAGCATATGAGTAGAATTGGCAAGAGACTGGCTAGTTTGCCCTCTGGGACTCGAGCTTTCTGGTCTCTTGCCAAAGCTGCACAAGGGAATTTTTGTAAGTCATCTTTTCCACCTTTGCGCAGGGAGGATGACTCGTTGGCCCAGAACGCTAAAGAAAAGGCCGATCTTCTTGGATCCATCTTTGCGTCAAACTCGACATTGGATGACGGGGAGAAACCACCACCGACCATCACGTGTTGTAGGAGCTCTATGCCTGACATTAAATTCACGCATAGCTCAGTGCGTAGAGCACTTTTCTCCCTCGAAATCCATAAGTCGAGTGGGCCTGATGGTATTCCTCCAATTGTGCTTAGGACGTGCGCACCAGAGTTGGCTCCGGTTCTTACGCGTCTTTTTCGGCTTAGCTACTCATCGGGCATAGTCCCAAAGTTTTGGAAGACTGCTCTGGTGCATCCGATCCCTAAAAAGGGAGATCGCTCAGATCCAGCTAACTATAGGCCCATAGCTATCACTTCCTTATTCTCGAAGGTTATGGAATCCATCATTAACCGTCAACTGCTCCGGTACCTAGAAGAGCACCGGCTGATCTGTGATCGCCAGTATGGCTTTCGACAGGGACGTTCGGCCGGTGATCTTTTAGCTTACTTAACACACCGATGGGCAGTGGCAATCGAGAGTAAGGGAGAGGCCTTAGCAGTTAGTCTGGATATTGCGAAGGCCTTTGATCGGGTGTGGCATAGAGCGCTGCTTTCAAAGCTACCTTCATTTGGGTTGCCTGCGAGACTGTGCATTTGGGTCGCCAGTTTTCTCAAGGAACGTAGCATTAAGGTCGTAGTCGACGGTGCATGCTCTGATTTAAAACCTTTGAATGCTGGTGTCCCGCAAGGCTGTGTACTATCTCCGACTCTGTTTCTTCTGCATATCAATGATATGTTACAGATAAGTAATATTCATTGCTATGCGGACGACAGTACAGGAGATACATTATATACCGGTCATGCAAAGATCTCGCGGGCACATACCGATGAGTGCCGGAATAGACTTGTGTCTGAAATCGAAACTTCACTCCATCAAGTTTCAATCTGGGGTGAACAAAATCTTATCCAATTTAACCCCAAAAAGACACAAGTCTGCGCGTTTACCGCAAAAAAGACGCCGTTTGTCGTATCTCCTCACTTTCAGGGCACTTCCCTTGATAAAAAGTCAAGTCTAGGAATTCTGGGCGTTGATATATCTTGCGACGTCCAGTTTTGCGGTCATCTGGAGGAGAAGGCTAAGATAGCTTCCAAAAAGTTAGGAGTGCTCAATAGGGTGAGACGATATTTCATGCCAGAACACCGCCTGAAATTATATACGAGTAAAGCCCAAGTCAGGCCGCATATGGAATACTGTTCTCACCTGTGGGCAGGAGCGCCACAGTACCAACTCCTTCCGTTAGACCGCATTCAAAGTCGGGCGGCTCGAATTATCGATAGTCAACGCCTTACTGTCCGACTTGACCCATTGAAACTGCGCAGAGATGTTGCGTCTCTGTGCATCTTCTACCGAATTTATCATGGGGAGTGTTCTGAGGAATTGTTCGGATTGATACCTGCTGCTGATTTTCACCACCGTACAACCCGCCACAAACTAAAGTTTCATCCCAATCATCTGGACGAGTGGCGGTCTTCCACCGTGCGTTTTTCAAGGCACTTTCTTCCACGCACAACCATTCTTTGGAATCAACTTCCAGCAGCAGTATTTCCGAACCGATACGACAACATAACCTTCAAGAAAAGAGTATATTCCTTTTTAAAAGGCCGGCAGCACACCTGCAATGCCGCTGGTGTTGTGGGTGATCATGGGCGGCGGTAGTCACTTACCATCAGGTGAGCCGCATGCTCGTTTGCCCCCTGTGTTGTAAAAAAAAAAAAAAAAAACACTGATCCATTTTACAAAAACTGATCCACCAAATTGGATATTATTTCCACAATTGTATTCTTAATTGTAACTTAAAATTTTGTGTATGTTTTATTTTAATATCCTACATATCTACAAGTGGCCTTATTCATTGGCTTTCCTACTTCTGAAATCCACGTGTACGAAATAATGGCCAAAAGTCTAGTTAACTAATAAAATATAAATTTTGTAAATTTTAAAAATAAAATGTTTATTCAGACAGTAACATAAAAAAAAATTAATGGTTTCCATGTATTTTATTAATGGAGGGGCGGGGGGCGGAGTTTATGCGGGGCCTCCCCCTTACGAAGTTCAGTTGTAAACCGATTTGGAATATTCTATTTTTATCTAAAAGGATATACTAACAGATGGATCCCATAGAAATTTTAACAATCCATAGAACATTTGTCACGAGTTTAGTTTTTAAATCAAAATTACTGGTTTTATCGCAATGAAATTCGGATTTTTTTTGTGGATGGTAATGTAAAAGTTTATAATTATATTGATATAATTTAGAGAGTTGCTGTGATAATTTCAACAATAAGTTAAACACAAACTATACATCCTCCTAAGGTACCATCATTAATCGCTGCAGGTTTTTAATAAAACCTAATTAAATAAAATATGAGCAAAATATAGCACAATACTATGTGTATTGTATATTGCAGGTAGCCTGTTGTCAGTTAGTTACAATTTAGTACTGATAATAGTTTTGATAAATTTGCTAAACTTTTTGATAAGATTTACAGCAAACGGAAGTTTATTATTTTCAACACACGGTAGCATATGGTTACTAACAAAAAATCGCTCCAAGTTTCATTAAAATATTTTATACCAGCAGAAGTTAGCGGCGGGATATTAAGTTACATGCTTCAGCTTAGCTGTAATTGGATTGCAAAAGTTTTTGTATCGAATTAGAGTGACATTCGAATTTCACTTGCTATCATTCAGCTCAAAACATTAATTATTTATTGCCCTAACAACTTAAACTATTACGAATTAATTGGACTACAATATGAATTGATATATTCCATTTATTACTCTAACAACCAGGACTATTATGAATTAATTAGACTAAAATATGGACTCCAATTCCAATTGGACTCTTAAAACATATTTACCAATATAATACTAATATTATATATTTATTATACGAATATTAAAAGTGAATGATTTGTTATGCCATTTTAACGCCGCAATAACTTAGGGATTTGCCATACAATTTGATATCTAAGTACTATTCGGGATGGCGAAGAACACATATCTACTACACAAACTACTTATTTGCGGGTAAAAACTAGTTTAAAATAATACTATCCAAATCAATTTAACCGTTTTCAATTGATACTTTCCAATAGCATTTCTTTTTATACATTTACAAATATCACTAGAGTACTATAATAAACATTATGAAATATTTAAAATGTATGTATTATTATAGATACTAAATACTTGACCTATAAACCTTCAAATACATTGTCACCTAGATACCATAATTTGTTTTTATCTATACTTACCACACAATCAATGTACCTGCCTGGCTTAGATAACTGGACCTAGTACGCGAGGTTAAGCTAATGATAACGAATTGTGATGTTCATTAATCTATACATGCAAACGAAAATACATATATATATATATATATATATATATATATATATATATATATATTTAAAAAAATAGAGGTCAAGAATTAATGTTTATTATAAATTAAATCAGTAATTTGATCAGTTTGTCGAGGTGTGATATTAGAGTATGAAGCAATCTCAAAACGCTACTCTTACAAACTCCATAGGACGATTGTTATATAAAAGGGTCTAGCATGATTAAAGATTTTGACAAAATTCGTTATTTTGATTTAAAAACTACTGAATAAAATTCAACAAAATGTCCAATCTGAAATTAAAAACTTTCAGATAAAAAAAATAATTTACAAATCGGTTTATAACTGACAGAGTTATAAGGTAACAAATATAAAAAAGTAAAACGGTATAAAAAATATCAAGAACCTCTTCCATTTTTTTAAACTGGTTGAAAATAATATGGGAATACAAATAACATAGGAGTAATCCAATTTTTCTTTTTTTTAATGGCGCTAAAAAAATAGATAATAATATTCCTCAAGAGTGAGAATAACTTGGCAAGTATTACTGGTACAAAGGGCACTATTGTATAATGTGTGATAACTGTGATGTCATTCTGTATTTACACGTACTAAATATACGACTAAACAACTACGGTAAATATTGAGAAACTAAAAAAGTAATAGAACAAATACACTTGTATCGTTTGTTATAAGTGCTTACAAGTAACATCGTAATTAACTTATCGTTTACAAACCATCATATATTTATGAGTGACGGTCACGATTTATGTTATAAATATGATTAGTTTGTGTTTTAATTTATAAATTATGGAATACAAAAATAGGCGAGAGGCCACTGCCTCACCTATTGACCCGCAACCTGCACGCTGCGGAAGCTCAGACCATTAAGTGTTTACTTAATCGCTCGTAGCAAAGAACCGCAGAAGGCCGACAACAACGATAAACCTACAATACACTTCATAGCATAATAATTACTAAATTAATAAAACTGTCACCTATTTGACGCGCCATTTTGCCTCTTTTATATTGTACATACTTAATCAATTCCTGAGTAATTACAAATTTCTACAATTTAGCTTTTCGAAATTTATACTGAGGATTCAACGTTATTTTGAAGTATATGTATACACGTAAATAATGATGCGGCGATGACGCACCCTGCCACCTCAAGGTGAACCGCCGCAGCCGGTGGGTCGCCGACATTGCGCATCCAGCTACGTGCAACACACTAGTCCGTTACACCTCGTATTCTCACATAACAATCCTTTATCACTCACTCCGAAATGTCCACCTATTAAGGTTACCGTTAATACGGGTGCGACACAGATTGCTCGCGAGCGCGCGGCGGGAGGCTGCCAAGTAAAAAGCATCCGCGTGCATATTTTGTTCAATCGCAAGTCACCATGATCCGCGACGTGTGGTGGACGTGCGCCCTCTTGGCGCTCGCAAGTGCGCGTATTTACGAGCGTTGCGAATTGGCGCGAGAGCTGATGTCTTACGGTGTGGACCGCAACCACGTCTCCACGTGGGTGTGCATCGCGTACCACGAATCCCGCTTGGACACCAGTGCGCAGAACCACGGCAGCGGCGATCACGGCATCTTTCAAATCAGCGAACTGTACTGGTGTGGCCCCGGTAAAGCCTGCGGGGTGCCCTGCACCGCGTTCCGTGATGAAGATATCAAAGATGATGTCGAGTGCTCGCTGATGATACACGAGGAGCACACGCGACTGCAAGGCGACGGGTTTATGGCCTGGGTAGTGTACCCACAACATTGCAGACAGAACACAAAGAAATATTTGGCTGATTGTGATGGTTTTCCAAAAAATATCACAGGAAAAATGTTCAATACTTACAAACCACAGGTCCTAGATTTTATCGATAACAATGTCACTGTTTCATACACTCCTAAAATTAGTGACCGACAACCGTCGTACCTGACGGTCAATGCACTATTTAATAATCATTTTCAACAAAATTATACCAAGACCACACCTAAAAATTGGTTAAATTATAAAATAGACAATATCGATAAACTCACTCTTCCTGTTTTTGATAATAAGCCTAAACTTGTTCCTACACAAATTACAAGCCCGACTTCTTATCCCACTACATCAACCACTACAGCCCTTGCTGTTAAACCATGGAGAACAATAGAAACAAATCAATTTCGAAATAAAATCACGTACGATAACAAGGATTTTGGAAAAGCGAGCGTGACTAAGGATGCAACAAAATATGATAAATTTACAACTTATTCTACATACACAAAGTCTTCAACATCAGCACCAACGATATATACAACTCCGAGAACATATAAGATACCTACCATCAAGACTAGTAGTAGACACCAGGTGGTATCATACAGGCCAGCGACATTGTCCACATCTTCGTATAATTTCCCTGCTGCTACCACAACGTTACGACCAGTTTCGGTACCTATCTCCTACAGATTTCCTTCAACGCCGTCGCTTCGTCCTACACCGACGCCAACCACTCGAAGACCGTGGTATCAGCAACAGACATTCTCGACAACGCCACAGGTCAAATTAACATCAAGGCCCACTTTTGGAACAAAATTTCGGACGACGCCTTCTCCACTTATAACGAAACGACCGAATTCAGCAACTTACAAGCCTACACTGCAAAGGTCCACTCAGTCCATTTTCGATCTTTATTTGAACCCTACGAAACGCCCCCAGATATCTTCGTTCTTCCGTTCGACCAACGAAAGTCCATACAAGCTGAGAATATTCGCTGGCGGCACCACCACACCTTCTCCTTTTTTTAAAGGTGCTACGTTTGGTGGCGCTTCGCGTAATCAGTTTAGAAGAGATACTCAGTTCCATAAGTAAATACTTATTGATAAATGTTCCACAAAATAGGTATTATGTAAATACTAAATTTATACCAAATAACAAATTCCTATTTTACATCTACATAAAGCTATAAAATTTTTTAAATTGTCTACATCATTTATACATCCTTTCCATAAAACTTTACCATTAAATTAAATTGATATTATTATAAATTTATTAAGTCATTTGTATAAAATATTATTACGCCACCATTTTATAAACCTTAGATAAATTAATCTCTTTATAGAGTTATTTGTCTAATATATAAATAACAGTTTAATTAGCATATTAAATAACTTGTCATAATACGGAACTAAAAGGTGAGAATCTCTTTCAACATGCATTTAAATTAAACACGAATAAATCAATCAATCACAATCATACAGATAGCATTAAATCTTTGTAGTTGCCCAACCCAAACGAATATACTAGTAGATACCGTACTTGGTACATATTTGATTTTTTAATAATACTTAAAATGACAAACAAGGACAGTTCACCTGACGAAAAGTGGTAACTGTTGCCTATAAACATGAGCAGAACCACGGACATCACAGAATACACTAATTCCCCTGTACTTCTCGTGCGTTGCCATTCTTGAGGACGATGAATTTATTCCTTTGTACCCTATAATTTCACTCTCATATCCCACCAAAACTCAAACCGAAACAGCTGTGCAAAAACAGTTGCTTCGCAAATGAAACGCGTGGAACAGGGGTCCCATGCAGACGAGTTAATTACCTACATAGTTTCTTTTTGGTTATAAAAACATTAAATGAATAATTAATAAATATTGCAGGTACTTAATTATTTACATTGACTTTGCGATGTCAAGCTAAGAACAAATATACATTCACAAACATCATGTTCAATTAACGCAAGTCGATCTGTAAATGACACCTGTTAAGCCGGTTAACTCTTATAATTTTATCATGCATAATATATACATACATATCCATACATTATTTTGTAACATGTCAATAATTATATTATTATTATGTGATTCACTCTTCCTTAATACTTATAAGAGAATTTTACAATAAAAAATATATGCGAATTCAAATACATAGAGCATAATATTATAATTATTATTGTTTATATTGCCTGCATTCTTCTAATATCTACATTAGACACCGGTACGGTAAAGCGAATAGATATAAATATCATAATACAATAAATTTATACCATAAATATTTAATTATTCATTATATTATTTTATTTATTAATATTTGCATTTGTTTGTTTTAGTCAGAATGTTTTATACATATAATAATAGTATAATTAAGAACTATGTGAAAATATAAGTAAGCTTCTAGCTTCGCCCTCTGGAAACCAAAAATGCAAGAAGATTTTTATTCAAATCCGACTGATAGTTCTACAGATTAATGTGTTTAAGCTAAAAACTCTTCTGCTTTATTAAATTATATCTGTCTATCGGTTACCTAATATACATATCTAGTACCAGCTCTGCTTAGTTTGAAGCTAGACGATGCTTTATAGAATGTACAAAGATATTCATTATTATTCTCAAAAATCAAATGAAAAATATGGGTATGACATTTAAAAAAAATATAATGATTAGTTCCATATTATAATTTAACTATAAACAAAGTAAAAAATAACGCATAATTTATAAAAAAAAAATACGATATCAATAAAAATCTAACATTTTAATGTCACATACTACCTACACAAACTAATTTTAAAACTGATTTAAATTGCACAAGGAACTAGATCTTTTGCGAAGATAAATTATAAATTTCGTTTTACTATTTGATACAATTCTAAGAAAGAAAATTCATAAATGCATATTCATATAGATTTATTTATTACACGCCATCTCTGTTTATCTGTCAGCAATTAGGAAATAATTTTTAAACGAGAAAAATGGCTAAAAAACTCGGCTACTCTTCTTATCAGACAAAGATTGAAATTATAAGCTTCAGTTTTTGTGTAGCTAGAAATTATTAACATAGATATTTAAATTACCATTAATAAATTATAACCTAAAATCCCGCCGCTGACTTCTACAGGAATAAGACTTTTTAATAAAACTGTTTAATGATAGATAAGCGGAAATATAATACAATGCGCCCGAGTTGTCTGCTCTCTGTTAGCCGTAATCTAGGGTTGTCAGGTGAAATTGGAATAATTTTGCTAAAGTCATCATGCTTTTTGATAATATTTATACCAAATGAAATTTTATCCTTTTATAGTATTTGATATATATATATATATATATATATATATATATATATATATATATATATATATATATATATATATATATATATATATATATATATATACGGTATATACGGTAACATACGATTGTCTATAAAAAATGGTAAGGGTTACCAGCCTCCAAAGTTTTGTTCTAATTATAGTGAATTATTTATATATATATAGCATAAGTTTAGATAAGTTTATTTAAGATTCTCTTTAGAAAATTGTTGCAAGTAAGTGTCCATTTGACATTCTAAAGTTGTAGTTAACTGAGTGTAGGCAACCCGGGTACAATGTTTCCAAGTTTCATTAAAGTCTATATACCCCTGCAAAAGTCTGTGGCGGGATCTTAGGCTATGCTATAATGAGACTACAGGACCACGTAATAAACCATCTGATTGTAGTAGTCTTACACTGTCCAACATAATATGGAGCGAATATATTTAATGGATTAAAAAAAATGTGTATGTAATGATAATTTATTGCAACACGTTAGAATTTTGTCTAATCATATTAAAATATAGAGATGAGCAAAATACCCACTTCGTGGGCACCTTGAGGGACTATTCTCAGAAACACTTGACCGAAACCACAGTCTATAAATAATGGATGAGATCCGAACTTGTCATATAAATCTTTGACGACATCAACCGATATATCAACTTGTTCGCCATTTAAAACCTGCTTTCATAGCCTTAACAACTGTTTCCTATATTTAGCATATATAATTATAATTAATTAATTTATAATATGCATAGTGACAGAGTAAGGATAAAATGTGTCATCTCTCTTTTTCATCTCAAATATGTGGTAAGAGGCGTTTCAAGAAACAAAGTATGTACGCCAATACAGGGGAAATAACGCCCGAAATAAATATACTAAACGACCTGGCTAGTATAGTTATAGTAGGCTTATATTCTCTTATGGAGGAACCCATGCCCAGCAGTGGAACATTAATGGGTTAGAATAGAATGGTTTTTCCAAGTAAATTGTACTTTACTAAGAAAAGACGAGTGATTGAAGTACCATAGAGTTTTAACTTTGTCGACATTACTGTCAACAATATTACGCGACATGAATAATACATAAAATTTTATTTTATGTATGTACATGTATATATATGTATGTATGTATGGTATGTATATATCTATACTATGACAAGTGAACTTCGTATCATTTGCAACACGATCTATTAAAATCTATTAATGCGAATTAGCGATATCTATATAAAATTAGCCATTTTTAAAACTTCTTCTTGTTTTACATCGCTCCTGTAAATAACGAACAAAACAAAAAAAGGAATATGTAATTTATTTGAGTTTTAGGGAGACCAACGAACGGCAACTGATTTTTATATATATGGATAATATATATATATACAAAATGCCGTCTGACAATGTTCTTTCACGCAAATTCCGAAACCGGTCGACGGTTTTTAATGAAATTTTGTAAATGATCGCTCTAACTTGAAATGGATCCGGTAGGTAGCGGCAGGGGGCAAAACAACGTGTCATTGTGCGAGTCCGCTTGTATAACAATAAAATTCACCGAAAGAGCTTTATCAACATTATTGTAGTATCAATATGTTTTACTCTAATACGATTGAACGTCTGATTGAATTTTAAGCAAATTATTGTAAATTAACACACAGTATACATTTATTCAAATTAACGTGGGCACATATTATAATTGTTATTACTACCATTTTCTTCTTTTGAACGAAATCAAGAAAAAGAAATTAAAGAAATATTAAGAATGTTTGAAGAAAGTTTCTTTTATATTCTAAAGTCCTAAAATGCTCACTTTTCATATTACTATCCAGTCTAAAAATATAACTACACACACGCACGCACGCACGCACGCAAACACGGACGCACGCACGCACTCACGCACGCACGCACGCACGCACGCATGCACGGACGCACGTACGCACGCACGCACGCATGCACGCACACACACACACACACACATTTTTTTATTAGTCTATTAACACAAGTAAAAAGAAATAATAATATCTTTTTATCTGATATTTCGATATCATTGTAAGTACATTTCTTTCAGAGAACTTATTTTAGTAAAATTTTCTCTCTTAATAAAAAATAAGTAGTTTAAAAATTAATTAGCTAATTAACAAACTGAAAGTTACTATAGAAAATATGTAACAATTTTATAGAATTATAGAGAGATAATTCCTACTTCATGTTCTGTGTAGGTAAGAAACTGTGAATATAACAAGTTCTTGTTTGCTCTCTTCACATCAAAGTGGATAGTTCACAACTAAGTAGTTATTAAAAGTTAATATTACTTTATAAAGTACACCGTATGATTTATTGCGATCTTAAAAAGATATAAAATTAAATTTTTATTGTCATACGTCATTATTATTACTTATTGAAAAAGTATGTGACATATTCGTTAATTAAAATCACTGGATAAATTCGTATGTCACAATGTTAGTTGCCATACTTTTCCGAAATGGCTTAACCGATTTTGCTGAAATTTTATATTCTATACTCAGTATATCTGAAAGTATGTTGTTATCTATTTTTTATACCCCTAAGTAATAAGGGTGGCCCATCCCAAAAATTTTTTCCCTAACAATAATTTATACGGCAAAACAACGCTTTCCGAGTCAGACAGTACTTTATATAGTATACTATATAAAGTATTCTATTTATATATTTGTTATTTGTTCTTTAATTACTAGTTTATCATATACTTTTTGCAAGTAGCAACGGTAACCCGAATTTAAATATTTTCAACCGACTTCAAAAAGAAGGAGATTTTCAATTTCATAGTATTTTTTTCTGTTCCTTATCCATATCTTTTTTTTTTTATCTGTAAGGATATACTTACAGATTGATCCCATAGAAATTTTATCAAATTCAATTTAATAGCTTAGTTTTTAAATCAAAATAGCTTGTTTAACCACAATTGAAGTCGATTTTTTTTTGTGGAATGCAATCATAATTATGAACTAGTTTAATAGACAGATTCTAAAGTTTTCACTGTTTATAAAAATCTTTAAATAGCCACTCCTATCTCAATAAGATCTCTCAAAATCATAAGAATATAAAAACATTTATATAAAATTACAAATTCCTGTTATTCATTTTGCCTGTACATCAGAATGTGTGACCATGAACACAGTACGACACATGGAAGACGTGGTTTGCATTTCTATCCTTTATTCGAATTACAATATATATATATATATATATAATATATAATATATATATATATATATATTATATATATAAATAATCATATTATGTACCTGCGTTGTAGTCTAGTACTAGTTGTACCTAGTCTAAAGCAAAAAGATTAAAATGATAAATAAAAATAATATTATATTTTATGTTAAGTTATAAGATATTATAAGACTTTTTACTGATATGAAAAGTTCATTACTAATTTCTTAAATTGATACATTGTTTTTAATACACGAAATAATTATGATGCTGTATTTTTTTTTTTTACTTATAAGATGTGTATAAGATAATTTAATACTATAATCAGTACTTCGAAAGGGGGGCGAGCAGTTGTATGAAACCGAAGGTGCGGTGCGGAAGGTGGCATCCCCTTTACCGAGGTGTAAAGAGGGTGCCAAAATGTAAAAGAGATGCTATAGGATTATTAAAGGACAGTATGACACTTGACATTCCAATAAATAAAGTTCCGGAAGAACCCCCTTTTTTTGACGTGAAGATTTTTGTTTTGAAGATCCACCGGGCGCCGTCAAAAACTTGCCTAGGGATGTCAAATTTGCTAAGACCAACCTTGATTATAATTACATAGAATTTCATATATTTCTTTTTGAAAAAAAAAATACAACTTAATATGTTATATCTACATAGCTTTTTTTCTAGTTTTTTTATTGTAGTAGTGTACATAATTAAATATTTCAACGTAGTAAATATATTTAATGCAAACTAACTAGCAACCTTACACTATATTGAATATATTTCTCTACAAAAATAGCAACTTTTTCAATCCTGTTAAAATTAATACAGGTCCCACGGGAGTTCTCCAACCAAATCGATTGCAAAAATAATTAGGTACAAAAATCGATTCATAATTAACAATGATGTTATATAAAAAACCTCAGAACACTTTTTTTGTTTTGCACAATATCATATTATTATAGTTGTTATAATTTTATTTTTTAGAGAATTTAAGATTGACATTTATAAATTAGATCATGTAAAACAACATTTACACCGAGCGTAACTTAATTAATTGATTTAATATGCATATTATATGATAATTTTTTTAAAATGACATTTATTAAAAATCCAGGGAGATAAACAAAGTCATTTAGGATGCTGCCAGTTATAACTTATTACATTTTATCAATCTCGTTTTAAATATCAAAATACCAACTTAAAATTTTTATTAGTTATAACAAATAACAAATAAATTACTTTTCATAATAAACATTTCAATCACATGAGGAAATATAGTCGGTTACAATAGAACTTAATATTAAGGCAATCAAGTTTTATTGAAATTATAACAGACTCACACTAAATGTTATTAGTAACGAATCCAATCTATTAATCAATTAATCGATCTTTAATTTATACTACCATTAAATTATTAAAATTATGACAAATACATTTGAAATAAAATTAGCAAGGAATCAAAACATCCAATCAATCAATCGATTTTTAATGAGTATTACCATTGAATTATTAAAATTATAATAAACAGATTTAAAATGAAATTAGTAAGAAATCGAAACATTCAATCAATCAATCAATTATTAATGTGCACTACCATTGAATTATTAAAATTATAATAAACACATTTGAAATGAAATTAGTAAGGAATCGAAACATTCAATCAATCAATCAATTATTAATGTGCACTACCATTGAATTATTAAAATTATAATAAACACATTTGAAATGAAATTAGTAAGGAATCGAAACATTCAATCAATCAATCAGTTATTAATGTGCACTACCATTGAATTATTAAAATTATAATGAACACATTTGAAATGAAATTAGTAAGGAATTGAAACATTCAATCTTTTAATTGATTTTTAATTTCTACTACCAGTAAATTATAAAAAATTTAAATTATTAAAATTATGACTTAATCGATTTTTTATTAGTTTGACATAAGTAGACTGTCTTATTGTCTAGTTATTTATTCGTTTCTTAATATTAAAACAGACCGTCATAGCATGGACGGAGTCACGAGATCGCGAGAGCGGAGTACCGTCTTATAACTATGATCACATTATGTGATTTATTATGGCTGTACTTATTAATTTATTGTTGTTACAGGTGCTTACCTTGTGTTGAGCAATCCGCACTTTTTGTTTGCTGATGAGATATATCAAAATAGTGTAATTGGAAATACGCCAGACATTGAGAAACATGTCCCATTCGTGGAAGTGGAGCCAGTAAGTTCTATATTTTCATTCGTTAACTATCCTTTGTTGAACATAGCCTCCCCAATAAGGGGGGATTTTGCTAGTACTGCTACGCTTGCCAGGAGGGTTGGCAACCGCAGTTAAGCTTTAGTGGTGTTTTAAAAGGGATGCTGCTGTCTATTCCTTAGTCATTAAGTTCCCTTAGTGTAACAGCCACAGCAAAGTTCTATTATTTCATTTTTTTACGCAACTTAGAATGGCAAACAAACTGACGGCCTACCTGATTGACAGTGGTTACCGTCGCCTATAGACATGAGCAGTACCATGGATGTAACAGAGTATACTGTTTCGCCCATGATACTACCTCTGCATTGCCATTCCTGAGGACTCAGGTGTTATTCCTCTGTATCCTGTAAATTCACTGCCATATCCCACCCTTTAAATCGAAACACAGCCATGCAAACACAATTGCTTCACGGTAGAAACACAAGTAGGACAAGGTAACCAAGCAAACGACTTTTGTAGAAAGTGTCCCTCTGGTAAGATATGGATACGTATGTATATATAATAAAAAAAAAACTTTTATTTTCAGCATACCGGCATAGTGTTACGTGGAGGCAAAAGAGCCCAGTTTAACGTATTCCTAAGGCCTATTCGTGGCATAACAGCAACACAAAACTTCAGAACAACCTTAATACCATTATTTTGGGTTGATGAGGTAAGTTTTTCTAGCTTTTCATTTGTATACTTTGGGATATATTATACAACACCATTTCTCAAACAGAGCTTGCACTAATGGGTGTTAAATAACTGATAGAAATATTTAAATACTTTAATTTTTTTTTTTACACACATTTAAAATATATGTGGTTTACTTGAGTTTCATAAAAATATAATTAAATAATTATGATTTCATTCATAATGTTAAGTTACTTATATTTAATAGATGAGTATACATTTCATTTTTGTTTACAGGGCATGTCGTTAACAGAAGAGTTTGTGGACCAGATAAAAAATGAATTATTATTCGCATTAAAATTAATTGACATTGTTATACCTATTTTACTAAGTGTATTCAGCATTATATTGGTAGCCGGAATTGTTGTTATAGCGAAAAGAAAGCTTAGAAATAATGCGTCTGGTAGTGATATCCCGTCATCTTTCAAATAAATTAATTTCTCAGATAGGTACGTTTTATTTTTTAAAACCTAGACATTGTGTTGCTCTTGAAACACTTCTTAGAACTAAAAGCACATTGTTCCTGAATGTTATAAAGTTGCCATTTATTATGTAAAGTTATGTAAAAGAAGGCAAAGTTAGAATAACAAGTTACTACGATTTTCTTATGTATAAATACACATGCGCTTAAATTATAACCATACATTTTTGTTTTTCTCTTCTCATTTAAGAGTTTCCTCTTGTAACTAATTCATGGATTTTCATCCAGCCAGCTCTATCCCAGGCTATTTCTTTGACCTTTTTATACGACATGACACCTAGTGTTTCCTTATCAGTCCCATGTAGTTATTCCTCGGTCTTCCCCTTCCTCTTTTGCCTTCTATTTTTCTTTCTACTAAAATTTTTTTTCTCTCTTACTCTTTCTGCTCTTTAAAAAACCGCCATGTCGTATAAGGTGGCTCAGCGTTTTTCCTTTTCTATTCTCTATTCACCCTTTTAAAAAGATCTTTATTCGTTACTTTTTCTGTCCAACTTATCCTTTCCATGTCCTTATTTTAAATTCCTCAAGCATCTTTATTTTCTTTTCTTTTGCGTCATTGGTCCATATTTTATACTCATATAATGCTATGCTCCAAATGTAATTTTTTATAAATTTCTTAAGGACTATTTTTGATATTTGTTATATATATATATATATATAGTCTTCTACTCGTAACATTTTCCTGTATAATTTTAAAAAAGTATACTTACTTGATAATGATGTTGATGTAGTTTTTTAAGCTCACGTAACTATTAGACGCCCTGTAAAAAAGAGGTTTAGTAACAAAACACATATTATTGTATATGCACAGATATGTTAAGTACTTCTACCCGTGAAGATACATTCTTACCCGTCTTGGCTTATTTCCTGTCTTAGGCGTATTTAAAGAGAGCCAGGCTCTCCGTGGAAAATATTTTAAATACACCAATGTTTTTTGCAATCTCAATATTTTATTTGCCAAGCATTTGTCGACTTTTCAGTCGTCTCTTTAGTTTATCTATTAGTTTTTATCAATAAAAATATGTTATAATATATATATATATATATATATATATATATATATATATATATATATATATATATATATATATATATATATATATATATATATATATATATATATTATCATATTTTATTTATAATCATCGTCATATCAGCCATTGTCTATGCATTGTTAAACGTAGGTCTTCTTATATTAGATTCTTATATTCTACATATTATTTTATATTAGAGTTTTGATTATCCAAAAGTTGAACTAACATTTTTCTTAGTTCAGTTTCTAAACCCATGTAAGTAAAAGCTAAAAAAATCATAAAACAAACGAAATGTAACATGATGTATATGTTTATCTTTTAGTTACTAAATCTACAGGAAAGTTAAGATGTTTATTAGTACAGTTCTGGCAATGTATTTCATCGATAGATCGTCAATTAGGGTTATTTATATATTGGTTTTTGTTTTATTTATGTATTTATTTATTATAATTATTTATTTACATATTGTATAGGTATTTTTGTGGGTCCAACATAGAATAGGCCAGTCATTCCTTTTCCGTGGGTGTCGTAAGAAGCGACTAAGGGAACTTAATGGTCGAGGCAGCAGCATCTCTCTTAAAACATAACTACAGGCTAACTGCCAAGAGCGTGATAACTACTGGCAAAACCCCCCAGGGGGAGGCTTATGTTCAGCAGTGGGCAGTTAAAGGCTGATATGATGATGATGAATACAAATCAATTATAATACAAAAAAATATAAACAAAAAGTTACAATCTAAACCTATGATAAAGTAATATAAAGTGACTGAAATTGCTGAAGTGTTCATTTATTGGTTTCACAATCATATTCGTTGGGAGGAAAGGGATTATTAGTAATGAAATCTAACAGCCTCTCTGAAATCTCTGGAAACCATCATGGTTAATTCTTGGTGAATTCGTCAGTATGGCCAATTGACCTGCTTTCTTACCTATCATCTCACTGGTGCCCCGCTCGCATATATACCTTACACGATGAGCTGACCTGCTTTCATCCTCTCCTATTATCTCTCACTAAGGCCTCAATGACGTTTACCGATAGCGTTCAGCGGGAATGAGTGAGGATGAATGGAATCCCATTACACTTTCAACCATTAAAAAATAACCTATTTGCTTGTTTACCTATTCATTAAGTTTTATTGAAACAGACGTTGTTACACAGAGTTATGGTTAGCTGTAGCGGACTAATGGAAGGAGGGGGGCGGAAGCGGTATACCTTCCCAGGCCTTTGGTCATGAAGGATCTCCAAACGCCTCCATTTTCCTAATCTCACTAAATATATTTATTTAGTTAACATTTACACATACAAAGATGATCTGAATAGAATACTTGTAAAATTAAATTAATTTCTTAATCTGGCGGCCTCGTTTAGCTTTGGGATCGATAGATCGGTACGTGTCCTGTACATTCTTAGAATAAGACGCACAATATTGCTGTCTCGTTTTATCTTATGCACGCACTATGTTTTGCCTGTGGTTTCACTCGGGTTTTACTTTTACATCTGTCTTATACATTATAGCTATTGCTCATAACTTCATCCTCATGGTAGTCAGTTAATACACTCTCTTTACCTTCTTAGGAAAACGGTATTTTCAAAAAATATATACTTAACACTTTATTTAGTAGCAGAAGAATAAATTTACAAATTTTGCCTTCCTAACTTAATATTAACAAATGTACATACATATTTTCGGTCAGGTATCCATGTTCAAATTTTCGTCTAAATCAAATCATCCCCTATTTCACTCCACTAGGAGAAAAATTACCAAAAACTGCTAAAAAAGTTATGCTTCTATTCAAAAGCATAAAAACGAACTTTCTAATTTAAAAAAAAAAAAAAAAAACAGAATTACTATACAAATTTTTATCGCAAATTCAAGGTTGAATTCTTTAAAAACCAATAAACATATTAATTTTTGTTCTAATCCTTGCTTCAAAACCAAAATTAATATGTTTAACTAATATGCAAAAGTTAATATGGGCTCTTGAATCCAAATCTAAATATGTCTTCTTAATTGGAAAACCATCAAACTCCATACAAACTTTCAACCCCGTTTTGCTCCCTTAGGGATGGAAATTTCAAAATTCCTTCCTTATTGTTTATTTACATTATTGTTATCCTTATATCAGTCATTAACTATCCATTGCTGACCATAGGCCTCCTCCACAAGGGGAATTTTGCCAGTAATTGCCACGCTTGTTGGGCAGATTTGCAACCGCAATTAGGTTTTAGTGTTTTAAGACTGGGGATTTCCCTATTCTTCGAGCATTAAATTCCCTTAGTCGCCTTTTACGACATCCACGAAAAAAGAAAGGGTGGTTTATTCTAAGACTAATATTGTTTCAAACACTATATAAAAACCAATCTGTAAAATTTAAAGACTCTGTGACTGACTCTGCGTTGATATATGGGTCCGTCAGACAGTTAATTAGCATCCTTTCTTTTACATAGATAAGCGATAACATATTAATCGATAGACTAGTTTACTATTTGCCTAAGGAATTATGTTCATATAATATCTATCAAAATTGTATGGACGTACGTTGCTTATTGCTACATAACAATATACTTTACTACCGAATTTATATCATTTCAGAGTCACAAATTGTTATATCTATCTGTAAGTTTTTTATTGTTTTACGTCATTACTTTTTCATCCTTTCTTTCTTTAAAGACCTCACGTGATAATGGGTGTCGCATAAGAGAGCATTTTGTGCGCTGACAAAATATCCCTTTGTTTTTGCAATTATTCCATCTGTCCAAATTTCTAAGTTCCAAGAGAGGCGATCCTCGACCTACAGTCATAATAAACATCAAAAATTGCATAGTAGGGAAACCGAACTTCGGCGACTTCGCACTAGTAGCAATGCTCATAGGCTCTGAACTTAAAGTTCCTACTGCTAAAAAAATACACGGTAATAATCATCATAAATCGAAACTATACATATAGAGAAAAGCCTCATTTACATTCTGCAGGGGAGAAGTTCACAGTTCACAGCTATACCACTGTTACAACGTGTGTTTAACAACAAAAGGAAATTTTGTCCGCGGATAAAAAGTCCTTTATCTGAATAGACCTTAGAAACTATCTACATACTGCCTTCTGGATTTAAGCTATTATCAGCGTGTTTCCGCTAAACATACAGATGAATACATGTGTATGTTTAGTGGAATGTCTAATAAAACATGTAAATAATTTATACCCAGTTTTTTTACCTCACAACTCCGTCATTTGTAAACCGATTCAGTAGTTTAGTTATTCAATTAAAACAAGTGGATTACCACAAATAAAGTCGGCTTTTTGTGGAACTAAATCTTAAATTTTATTTTAACATAAAATTAAATTATATTAAATACAAAACATATATGCCCTGATATAATACACTATGCATCATAATGGTAATTATGTCGGGGTTGTAATTACAAGAACTTATTGACTGCATTTTAATAAACAAAACCTTGATTAAGAGTGCAAAAGGTAGATTCCTAGCAGGAAATAAATAAAACAAATGGATTTCAACATTGAGCTTTATTCAAGAATTAAACTCGATTACGCCACTTAAACACAATCAATATAAAATCAATGCACACAAGCAACAGAGTATGACTCGTGTACGCTCTGAAATAATAAGTCTTCTTTTTGATATAATTGGAAAATCATAATTATCCGAGGCTGATAATGGGGTTTTAGTCTTTAGTGGACTAGATAATGAAAACATAACTAATGCTTTGAGATTGCATATTATGATAAAATTGACTATTCAAAATTATCTAATGTATAAAAATAATAACAAATCCAATCGAAAATAAAAAAAAGTCACTCAGACCGCGTTATCAGCCTCATATAAAGTCAAACATAAATTCTCAATGATAGTCATTGGGCTCGAATCTGATACGCCATTTTATTAAAAACTATATCTTAATTTATATTTCAAATTGACAGTTTCGTCAAATGACTCTTTTATAGACCAGTATAAACTAAATTTATAATAATTTTGACTTAATGTATTAAAAAATAAGTTCATAATGGTCCTTTAGTATAAAGAAATGATATCAATTTGAAATTTTAATTTAAGAGATAGATTAAGAAAAATGGAGCCTCAAATTCGACCTCATTGATCAAAATAACATTTGCATAATTTCAGAAATAAAGTACATTTATATCTTTTTATAAGTAGATCCGCTTATATTATGCAAGGAACACATTAATATATTTTATGTATTTAACACACATTTAAACTGTCCTCACAGTTGATTGGCATCGACTAACCGAACATTGTCGACGAGGAGAGACGGGGGCATTATCGGCTAAAACTTGTACACTTATTCTAGTTTCATAGAATAATTACGATAATCAAAATGATAAACAGAAGTTCGCAGATTACATTAAACATTTATTAATATATTTTACCCATTTCTAACTAGTGCTCGAACCTGTAATTATTGTGTATAAACACGCCCGCGCGGTTGTTTTATCATTTTTATATTTTTTTCTATTACAATTTATGATATTGTGCAAGTCATAGCCTTAGTAAAAAAACCCCGTCTATTTTAACATCCATTAAAATTACAGAAAGTAGATTAGTAAGGGACAGAGGACTCTGAATTTTGACCAAATTATTTTTGAAATTCAGCTATTATACTGCAAGGGCTGTTTAACAAATAATCACTTAAATAAATCCAGTCCTTACAGTACGTAGGCTCATGCATAATTTAACTAAAATATACTATGAAAGATGTACATTATTTACATAACTGAACGGAAATTTAGTTTAAAAGGGTTTCTGGTCAAAATGTCACGAAAAATGACATTTTATAAAGAACTAGATTATTATGTACAACATATTTACAAGATTATTATAATCTAAAAGCTAACCTTAATCGACAAAATGACGCTTGTCGTCATTATTACGTTTACGTCCCTTAGCATGTGCTAACATCGTAACTAACTTCTTATGGCTATCGCCGACAATCCACCCGTGCTGTTGGAGGTGCTCCTGCTCATCGCCCTCCGACGACCAGTAGTAGGCCGTGGAGCGCGGCCTCACTTTCACTGCGGACGGGCCCGGCAGCCCGGGCGGCCCCAGTGACACTTGTACCCCAGTCGAAACACTACTACTTGCCCCGCTGCCTTTTACTCCATTTCCTCTAGGCGAATACTCCTCCGCTAGGGTGCCACTAGTCCCACTGCTACCAGCACCGCTAATCGATGTGTTGCGATTACTACTAGTTACCCTGCTTTCAATATCTTGCTTTTTAAATGTAACCTTGTTATTACTTTTACGCCCGCTAGATTGCTGCCCTTCTTTCTTTTTTCCTTTTCTTTTCCGTGCAATACCCAAAACAGACTCCGCGCTACTCGGTCGCGGAGGTCTACCATCCGGCTCCGATTCCGAACTCCAACTTTCTGCCAAAACATTCTGTTTTCCTACAGTACATTTGCGCCGTGCTCTTTGTCGGGCTACCCCAGCGTCATCCAAACTTTCCTGTTCTAATGAGTCGGTACAAAACTCGAAACCCATGCTGACGCCACTCTCTGCCCTCACTGAAGATTTGTGTCTCGAATCCAATTTTTCAAATATAGAGTCATCATGAATAGAAGTTCGTGGAGAATCACCGTGTACTGGCGATGTGGTTTCATATTTCTTTGTGGATGTAGTATTGTATTTCTTTGGCGATGAAGCTTTATAATCCTTTGGCAGCAGTGTCATATCATACTGTTTAGATGTGCTTGGGCCATAATCTATAGTTGATAAATTAATTTCATGTCGCTTCGAAGTCGAGGGACCAAATGCTTCTATGGGTTCTTTAGAAACATATTTCTTAGGAGACGTACTATATTTTTTAGAGGAATAACGAAACTCTTTAGGAGGTGTTATACCATACTTTTTTGACAATAATGACATTTTACTGTCATATTTATGAGATGAAGGAGTATTAAATTTCTTTGGTAAAACAAATTCATCTTTAGTTGCTGATTTGTCATCATCAAAAGTAGCAACAGAAAGTAACTTAGACTGATCAAAATCTTTTGATGATTCTGTATTTTGTGGAGACATACTACCACTTTTCAACATAGAAGAATTTGGTTCGTCTTCTAATAAACTATCAAACAGCTGATCCAAATTAGCTTTAGGCTTTGTAGTAGTATCCTTATTCTTTACATTCTTCTTTTCAGTCCTCACTGCATTGTGCTTGAATATTTTACCCATTACGGCGTTCTTATCTACTACATCCTTTCTCTTTAATGGTGATGAGTTTTTTTTGTCACTTGTTACTTTAATATTTCCCGTTTCACAAGACATTAAACTATTCTCGGTCTCATCATCACTACAGACGTAATCATCAGACATATATACAAAGTCATCACCATCTGAACCACTTTCACTTGAATTTTCTATTTCGTCTTCAACAGGATTAAACTTCGAAGTACTCGGGAGATCTCGTTTAAATCTTTCCATTAGAGTTGACGGTCTAAATTCGAATAATTCGGCATCTTCATTATCCATAAATTCATAAACATCGACTTTTTTCTGTGACAAAGAACTAGTTTTACATCGATGATCGCAGTTATATTTATTACTTGATTCTGAATCTTTTTTATCTCTCTTTTTTTTGGAGGTTGTTTTCTTTTTCTTTTTTGTCAGAATTTCTATAGGTGGAACTATTGTCGCAATATTAATATCTGATCTCGGGATGGAAACCTTGATGCCATCAAAACCTTTTAAAGCACCTTTGGTAAGCACTTGCGTACTCTTGGAGTTTTTCTTAGAACTCTTCTTAATTTTTTTCTTATCAGATTTTTTCCGCCCCTTGTGGCTATAACAAACAAAAAAATATATATTATATATAAACATTTAACTTGTTAGATCTATAGAATAAATATGTAATGTATGTATAACGGCAACACATGAAGACTACCATATGTACAACAAATCACAATGTATTTTGTAATGCCTATTGTAATCATGTTTATAGGCGACGATTACTGCTTTCTATCAGGTGGGCCGTCAACTTGTTTGCCATTTTAGGAAAAAAAAAGAAATTAATTAAATATTTACCTGACACTTGGTTCTGTCACAATTGGGGTTTGTTTTGCCGCCGCTGCTTGAGATCTACTTTTCCTCTTAATTTTGTCAAATTTGTCTTCAAACATATCAATATCTTCTATAATATCAGGATACATTTTTTCTTTATATTCTGGATACTTCTTCGTCTTGGTTACTTCGGCTTTATCGGTAACTTGAAATTCTATCGGGTCAAAACGGGATTCACCTAAATTAGGCGTCGAAAAACTTTCAGATTGATGTTCAGTTGAGCTCAAATGCTGATCAGTTATAACATTTCTGTAGTCCATCTTAGAATTAAGAGACGCATTAGCTGCTTCTTTTAGTCCGGAAATCAAATCGTTTTCTAAATTTCGCACCTCTTCGCTTTCAAGAATATTCTTAGCTGTTATAGAATCAACATCTCCATCACTTTTAGCGTCATATTTTTCCTCATTTAATGGTTTTTCACTAAGGTCTAATCCTGATGTTTGCGGAGGGTGAATATTTGTTAATCCGGAATTATCTGCATTGTTATGGTCATTTTTATGTGACTCTTTCAAAAGCTCGCAGCAATCTAAAAATAGTGCCTCATCTCTACTAAGTCCCCGTTCTGATAGTTGCTGTTCCCTAATAGTTTTATTCAAATCAGCTAGTATTTCTTCGACAGTAGGTAATTTGATTTTTTTAGCAGTCTTATTTTTCTTTTTTTTAGCTAATTTGTCAGTCAGTATTTTTAATCGATCTAGATATTGTTTATATGCTATTAAATAATTCGGTTCTTCATGCACAGGAGCAGTTTTGATCTTCATTTCTATTTCACATAGTTTTGAGATGTGAAGCAAAGTCATTTGATGTCGTAAGTAGTTATCAGGTCGACGAAATTCTTTCTTACAAATATTGCAATAGCGTGGTACTGTTTTAATACAACTTTTCTTCTTACGTCCACGTTTGGCAGTTTTGTTTACTTTTGTGGATGGATGTTGTGGAGTTTTTGAGTTAGTTTCACCTTCAACTGACTTTCTATTCTCATTTTGCAGAGATTTTTTTGTTGCCCGTTCTTTGAATCCAAAAAACATGTCATCAGTTTCATTAGCAATAATATGGAATGTTTCTGATATTTTCTTCGAAGCCAACAAATTTGATTTCCTTGGTTTTCTTTGAGAGAAGAAACCGAAACTTTCCATAAATTGTTCCGAACGAAGCTCATCTGCATCACTTTGAATAGCCATACTTTCTACATTGTTACAGACTGCTAGAGTTCTTCGACTCTTTTTGGTATCATTATAAGATTTATCGTTTGACATTTCATTAATATCAATATCATTATCATCATCTATATCTTTAGTCGTCGAACAAGGAATTTCATTACTTTCCAATTCAGATATCCTTCTTTCTTTTTCTTCTACATATTTTTGTAGCGGTACATCGCTTTTAGACGATTCGTCTGAATCACTTATGTTGCCCTTTTCGGCGGTAATCTCATCTATTTCATTATGTTTAGAAGTATCTCCAGATTCTTGACATAATAAATTATCAGTATCTTTTTTCACGGTCACTTCATTCATTTCTAAAGATTTTTTAAATATAGAACATTTCTGAAAAGTAACAACTGGTTGATCATCTAGTTTTTCTCTAGCGCTATATCGATCAAGTCTGTTACGGTCAGATTTTTCAATCATATCATCTAAGTCAATGTCATAAGGATCATACATAAGTGCCTTCGAAGACTTAACAACAACTGATTTGGAACGAGTTCGTCTAGAAGCTGCAGGTAAATTGTAACATGCTGTGCGAGCATCTGAGCTACCACTAGCTTGTATTTTATGTTGGAAATTTGTGTTATTTTTAACGAAATCATTCTGTTCTTTCGAATCCGAAATGACATTTTTAATACTAGGTTTAAGTTTTTTCGGTTTTGGACTTTGGTTTATCTCCTGACTTACAGTTATTTTTCTTTTTTCTGTAGAATACTTATTACTATTAATTTCAGCACGGTCAGTATTATTAGAATTTACATCAGAACCGTCATTACTCGCTGGAGGGATCTGTGGACCAACATTGACGATTAATGGTTTCTGCGACAACTGATCTTTATCTAAAGTAGTATCCAAAGTAACATTTTCTTTCTCATGCGCCTGTGCCACATCGTCACTTATATTTGATAAAACATCCGACTTAACAGAAAATTCTTGAAGATTATGTGAATTATCTTTATCAGTGTTATCGCCTGCATTAAACTGAGAAGTTTCTAAAGATTTCCTTTTTTTATTTCTACATTTTACTTCCGGTGATTGTCTTCGCTTTGATCTACTTTTTTCTATAATATTCGAGAGTGATCCGATTTCATTATTTATGCTAGCTAGATTAGAGCATAAAGCAATGTTTGTTTCATCTATACAGATGATACCAACATTCTTTTTCGGTGTAGAATGAGCTGGAGCTCTGGTATTTTCCTCATCTAATAAAAGTTTAGAAAATATTAGTTGTTTTTTAGTAAGTGGAGTCTTTTGCTCCAATGTTGTATCTAAAAATAAATTCATACTATCTACATCAGCAAATTCACTGTCAGTAAAAAGTGATTTCCCGCGTCTACTACGACGTAATGGGGTAATAATATTATCTGCTGTTTTCAAACCGTTATAGGGATCACTTATATCACTTGTATTGAGAGTATCACAAGATTCAACGGCAATGGGCTGATCACAAGTTAAACTACTTTTTTTATTTTCATTCTCGCAAGTAATTTCGTCACCTTTATCTAACACAATTGAAATATTCGTTTTTAGTTCTTTTCCTTCCTGTTTACTTTCAATTACAGAACATTCCTCATTTGTGGTTACTGATACAGATATAGATTTCTTTTTCTTCTTTTTTTCTTTTAGGGTACTACTTTCAGTATTTTTCATATTTGGTTTTTCTTCCAAGTTTATGTCGTTTACTTTTATAGAATTGCTCATTTTAAAATCATCAAATACATCCATATGCTTATCATTATTATCTTCAGGTTGCATCGACGTCTTACTCTCTTGACTACCATCAGCATCTTTGCACATCAAGATGTTCTCTTTACATTTTGTATAATCCATCTTATCAAATTCAATGTCATGGGTTTTATTAACATTAGCTGGATTCGTAATTTCTTTGTCTATTTGTTGGTCTACCATTTCTGAGCCACAAATATTTCGACGACCTTTCTTAGTTTTCCTCTTACAATGTTTGTCTTCAATGATAACAGCTTCGACTTTTGTTTCTTTAATGTCTTCATGTCCTGTACATATGTTTCCTTGTGTATTATTATCAATGACCTTCAATAATGCAGGATCACCTAAAGATTCTGCAGTTGGTGCACACTTTTCTGTAAGAATATCAATATTTGCAGCCTTTTTGTCAACTTTCTTTATTTTTCTATCTTTCTTTTTCTTTTTTCGTTCAATTAAGCCTTTTTCTGCGACAACGTTCAATGTGCTATCCTTAGACACAGAATTAGAGAATTGTTCTTGCTTTTGCTTTACTATTATGGCTAATGAAATATCGTCATCTGAATCATCTTCCTCATATGTCTTTATTTTTGAATTAGGCACCATGTTTTGTGTTTTGTCCCTCCCTGTGACCGTTACACTTTGACCCTTTGTATCTTCTAGAAAACGCTTATCATCTGTATTACTATTTATGACTATATCAATCTGTTCAGATACTTCAGATTTATTTAGTTTCTGTAGTGGCGTTTCATTTACACTTTCATTTTCTATAGCAAAATCGACTGCAATACTTTTACAGGCATCCGTGTTTGGATGATTTTTTTCAATCGACTCAATAGATATTGGATCTGAAGAACAATTTGACGTTATCGTAACTGATTCCTGTTTTGCAAATTTTTCTGGAGAACAAAGAGATTTAATTTTCAAGTTTTCATGGCTTAATTTAGACTTATCAGATAGAATTGAAACAGAAAATTTATCGCATTTATTTGTACTTAACTGAGTACTAGATACTTCTACTTGTTGGATAATCATAGTTTTATCTGAATCTAAAAATTTATTTGTTTCCTTCTCTTGATCACTTGTAGTACACTTTATTTGCAGATCCAAAAGTGGTTTATTTATTGAAGTATCTATAGTCGATTTGAGTCTTTCCGACGGAGCTTTTTTACGAACCGCCCTTAAACTGGATGTTTTCTCGTTTGGTACCTTTTGTTTACTCGAGTTTGTAACCGATATGAAAGCTTGCGATTCTTGAGATGTAACTACAATATTACGAGGAAATTCATCTGCTAATTTAACGACACTTGCTGCAGGCATTATGCTATCATCGTTAGTTAAATCAATTACATTTTCAGTCATTAACAAATTTGTACTATCCCCAGAAATGTGATCAAGTCGAATTTTATCTTTATCTTCCACGTTAATGACTTCTGTTTTAGTGTCTTCATCTATTTTTCTATTTATTTTTATCTGAGTTGTGCCAACGTCATCAAATGACGATTTAGAAGATAATGGTGATAATGACTTAGGAACTATGGCAGAACTTTTAGAAAGTTTCTTATCAGAATCAAATGATCCACTCTTCTGTGAATTAACTTGGTTCATCGATAAATTCTTTGATGATAATGGTTGAACTATATTTAGTTGTGAAATATTATAAGAATCATTAGCAGAAGATGAAGCGTCAGCAACAATTTGAGTACTTGTTACTGTAGGAGACGATGATCTCTTCGACATAGTAGTTGACGTTGTTGTAATTTGTGTTGATTCACTAGACAAAATTGAAGTAGTTACTGTGTTAGATACATATTGAGGCAATACATTTAAAAGCTGATTTCTGTGTCCTGCTGGCATTGTTCCCAATATTTCAACCAACTCTTTAGGTAACATTGCTATCTTTTTTGCTGTTTCTGGATCATGATCAATTGAAACACTCCCAATTTTATTCGATTTATGGAAGTCTTTATCTATTGTAACAGTAGTATCTGGAGAAATATTATGTACAGTTTTCTGGTTATCCATTTCCAAAATTGTATCATCACCAAGAAAACTGGGAAGAGATAAATTATTTGTAGTTGAGGGTGCGATCTGTGAACTAAGATTAGGAGTAGCACCATAGTTTATAGGGAGTCCAATTGTTGTGCCAGCTAATGTATAAACGGATGTGGTATTTGCAATTGTAGTTCCAGGTATACTTAATAGTGAACTAGTTAAAGGTATTAACGACGGTCTCTCAATTTTGGTTACAGAAATACAAGCATTTGCTAACGTGTATACAGGTGTAGTACTTTCATATTTACTAACTGGTGTGGTCGATATAGGATTTGACAAGGTATATATTGGTATTGTCGTACTTATTGTAGATACACAAACTTTTAAAGGAGTTTCTCCTAATTCATGTGAAAATCTTTCTTGCGAAATTGATACCGAAGCCAAAGTATCAGTAAACACAGCATCTTGAGATTTAGTCTCGGGCACTGACTGAGCAATTGTTATGTTTACTAATGGATCTTCAGTAAGTTTCGAGGATTGAAAAGAATTTGTAATATCTATTGGCTCTGTATAAGTAGACGTAGTCGAAGCAGTTGTTCTTATTTTATACTGAGGTATCTTCAGTGTTGGGTCATATACCGGTCTCTGCAGACTAATTTTATCCAGTGTTCGTGCCACTGATTTGTTGACATTCTTATCACAATTTTTCTTATTTTCTTTTATAGTTATTGGTGACTTTAGAAGGGTATCATTTTGTTTTTCTTTATCGTTGTTTTGTGATAAATTAGGCAAATTGGCAATGGGATTATCGTTTGCATTTTTATTTGTATTGACTTTGTAATTAATTTCTTTCTCTTTCAGAGGGATTTTATCTTTAGTTGATTTCCCTGATAAATCAGTAGGTGTTTCGACAATAATATCCTCCACAAGTGGTGAATCTTGTACAGAAATAGCTTTGTTACCAAATAAATCTTGTACATATCTTTGTTCATTTGTTCTTAATTCATGTAGATTAGTACACTTGGATTTTCCTCTTATTGATAAATCTGTGGGCACACAGTACATTTCTCGATCCCTTATAGATAAATCAGTCACATTTTCAGTAACGTTTTTTGATCCTAAATCCAATGTAGTTGGATGAGAGAATTGTGGTGTCGTTTTAATGCGCAGATCAACCACGACATCCGGTATAACAGTCATTTCTGTTCTTGACGAATCAGTATTCTTACTGGATAAATCAAGTGTTTCGTAAACATCATAGTTACTGACAAAAGAGCTATCTTGTTTAGACAAATTGTCCGAGCTTTCTATATTCGACACTTTACCAGATAAATCCAAAGGTACTGCCACAAGAGATTCTATGTTAGTACTAGAATGAGCTGGTGGAATTTCAGACGAAATTTGTCGATACTCAGCTTTAGAATAAACTTCCACTGATATTGTGTTAGTTGAAGTATTTTCGTCAATTGGTGAATGTTGACTTGAGTTGGAATTATGACAATTACTACTAGTCTTTTGCTCGATCTCTGACTGCTTTGGTGCTTGTTCTTGACATTGAGATAACTGTATGTTTTGAATCTGTCGCTGAGGGTTAGACAGAGTATCTAGTGGAGATGCACCCTGTTGTTGCACCAGAGAGCAAGAATTCAATGGAAGCAATTCAGATTGGGACTGAGGCATTGGCTGTCCTTGCCCATATATTTCAACTTGATTTTGCTGAACTGGCACATCGTTAACAGTAGTTTGCGGAGATAATAAAGACTCCTTAATTTTATTGATAACAGGAGCTGTATGAATTTCTAACATTTTTCTTGGTGATACCTTACTCTTTTGACTGTCATTTAATTGTTGTTTACACATGTCAGTATCAATATTAAGAATAACTTGGTGACTAGAACCATGACTTTGATCAACATTGTGTGAAATAGCAGTTGTAACTTCATTCCTCTTTTGGGTACAAACCATTGGCGTAACTAATTCACACTCTTTTCGTAAAGAAATTTCATTAGAAGGATGACTAACAGATCTTGTTCGTATTGTTTCGCATTTAGGCATTATTTCACTTGACTTTGACTTAGATTTATCTGTTTTTTGGTTCATTACATGATCAGATGTATTTACATCTAGCACTGAATTATTTGAACTATTATTACAAAGTGTAGTAGATGACTTTTGGCAATGATATTTTATTTGATTGTCATATTCATATGTTTTTTCTAAATTTAAATTATGTCTAGAAAATATCTCCGCCGGTTTTGTTTTCATTATTTCAATATGATGTTCTGAGTCAGCTAAGTTGGATTTGATAATACCAGTCTCGGAATCTAGAGGATCATCGCTTCCACACTGAACAGATATTTGTGAAGGAGGTACACCGGTAGTCGGTACTTCCAATTTATTTTTCAACATCGCTATACAATCGTTTAGACCTTTACGAGGTTTATTGAGTTTACAACTTTTTTGTAAACCATAAGGATCGATAACATTTCTTTGGCTAAAGTGTAAAGGTGGTTTGTCGAGTCTCGTTACAGCTGCTTCGTTTTCAAAAAATAAACGATCTCCCGTTGGTACATGTTGGTTAACATTATTGCATTCTTGTTGGACTAAAAATAAATGATGAAATTGCACTGATTTATCATGTGTTTCGGAGTCAGCAGTTAAACGAGCAATTGAATGTTTTAAAGGGGCGTTCTGAGATTGAGGACATGAATTATCAGAATTACCATTAGCATTGCTAGAACCTGAACTTTGTTGCTCGCGATTATTGGAACCACCACGACTTGAATGTTCTCTCGTATTATATGGTCCATTGTTAATATCGATTCTTTGCGATGTATTATCGATTGATAACTGGTCAATCTGCACGCTACCAGAGCATTGTGTACTTGACTCTTCCGGTTTGTTCAGAATTGCACTTTGTTCTACTAATCGAGGAATTCTTTTTGTTCTATTTATAAGAGTCCGCCGTTTCATAGTGTCATTTTGTCGTGTATTTTTAGTTGTAACACGATTCAGTCTTGATTTTAACGGCTTATCGTCGTTATCTTTACTTGTCATATTCTTATAATCTTCACTGCTTGTTGATCCAGTTTGCAAATTAGTAGCATTTTTAAGTGGCCTTAGTTTTCTGGATTTTGGATCCTCTGACGATCTTCTCTTTAATAATAATTTATTTCTTTGTTTATCGATTTTTTTACGAGGCCGTAATATCGAGTTCATTGGATTCACCATTACACGATGACGTTTTGCCGGTAAATCAGCTAACATTTTACGTATAGTTTCGGCTGAAAAAAAAATAAAATCTAAATAAAAACACGACATATTAAATTAATAAGTATAAATAATCATGATCAAATGTTTTTATAAATAATTATTATGTAACTAACTTACCATCTCCAACTTCAGTTCTATTTCTAGGTCTAGGCCTCATATGATTCTTCTGTCTAGTTTGTCTGTTTCGAATATCTTTTCGCATTTTCTTGCGTATCCTATTGTCTGGTAAGCGAGAACGACGTCTACGCACCCCAAAAGGTCGATAGCGACACTTTCTACGGATTGTTGGTGTGTCCCCTGCACAATCTAACATATGTTGATGTAAATCTTCTAAAGTAACTGATTTCTTACATTTCGTGCACTCTCTAAATCCCCTCAATGGTCTAGTTCTGTTGTATGTTTGACTTGGTGGTACATATAAATGTTTCAAAATGTCACCGTTTAAAAGTAGTTCCCCGACCACGTCATAATGTTGCACTTGTGCATTTGGATGGTGGGTAGCTATGTGTGATGAAAGCGAACGCGAATCATAAGTCGGAACACCACAAGCACAACAAACGTAGCATCTTGGTCGGACCCATTCACCACTTAAAACTGCAGGCTGCATATCATACTTCGGCATTGAGGGAGTCAATCCCAATGAAGCGGGAAATTCAAGACCATCTACATTCTCTAGAGGTTTAGCAGTATGTTTGACTACATTTAATGATGATATTGGTATCTCTCTGCTTTCCAGTATCTCTTTCAATTCTTTGCCGATAGCGTTTTGTTTGTCAGTCTTTTTTCCGAGTGGAGAATAATTATACTTATCTTCATATTTTCCTCTCATACGCAGCTGTGTCCAAATGTCTAAACTAGATACCAAGGTGATTATGCAGTTGTTAGTGTGACTATCGCGCTTAATCTGGTCAGGGTTTATAGAGTTCCTGTCCGATTCTAAGCTGTCCCATTTCCATTTGTGCTTTGGCGCTATAGCTCGTGGCATATACCCATCGAAAGCATTGCGGGAGTATTGCGCGTAAGCCAATAGTATTGGAAATCCCTCTGCGGTGTTAATAACGACACTATTTTTAGATTTCCTAGTTTTAATAGTATTGTCAGGATCAGGATTAAAATTAAAAGAACCATCCAGAAACTTGGTTAGATTTTCTTGAACATTACTAGCAACTTTCGAATAGAAAGTTGTATCAAAACATTTCTCGAATTTTTGTGTTGAATCATCAATAGCCCGGAACCATTCTTTTCTGGTAGATTCTCCGGTTCTGGGTGATCGGTGAACTACACCCAATCTAGAAAGGATCTGATCAGCATCAGTGTTGTGAAATGAAAAATTTGAGGGAATACGCTTATTCCATTGTATGTCGTCCAAGATGATAACTGCATTTTTTTCTATGACTGTATTATTACCTAGATTTTTGCTGGGCGGCAAAATTAAATTCGTTGTTATGTTGTCCTCGATATCGGCCTCATCATGTACTTGTGACGGTTTGAGTTCACAGGAAATAACGACGCCATTAAATCCATGAGCATCTGTGAATGTTTTTGCGTCATTCCGGAAATCTTTACTATCAATTTTGATAGATTTCTGACTTTTCTTAGTAGTTCCCTCCGACGCTTTCTGTCGAAGCTTGTTACGGTAGGGTATCTTTTGCTTCTCACAAATATTGAGCTTATGTTCATCAAGCTCTGTAGCTGACGGGAAACGAGTATGACACTGTAAACAGGCAAAGTACTGATTGGGATGACTCTCAACCATGTGCCGAAGAATATGGTTTGAGCCTGTCTCCGCATAACTACAGTACAGGCACTCGAGGTTTGATTCCTGTTTAGAAGTTGAGATATGCGTACGTCGTGCATGTTTAGATAAGGTTTGCTTAGAAGCGAATTTTCTATCGCAATAGGGGCAAAGTAGATGTAGGATGGGTGAAGAATCAGCCTTTATAGAGAGATCATCTGGTTTAATTGTCACTTTGGACGGGGTACAAGTACGCTTAGGTTTTTCCTGAGCGATCTTGCCTTCAGTTTTACGTATGGCCTTAGTAGTTTGTGGGCTAGGGACAGTAGACTTTCTTGGTCTCAGTCTTCCATTTAAACCAGACGATGGTTCATCATCACCCGTATTCATCGTGTTTAGTTCCTCAGGCCTGGAATAAGACAAAAATCGTACGTGCATATTAAAAGGGCATTCCGTGTTAAATAATTTGATATTAAAGAATAATTGTACAACGTTTAGTAAAAAAATAATAATAATAAATTGTATTAAACAATAATTGTAAAACTTTTAGTAAAAATAATAATAATAAACTGTATGAATAGGCGTAGTGTGTGTCATAATTATCACTAATGCATATTATTAATTCTTTTATTAATTTCAATAAAATCGTATTTCTATTTTACACCATATTATTGCTAACCACTGGCCTATATAATTTAGTTTTTGAGGTTAGCTAGATATGTTAAAATCATAATTTTATTTATTCTTGTAATATGCACGGACAACTTTATAAACTGTTATTATTTTGATATTTTGCTTAACACACGTCGAAGATAAAGAGGAAGAGTGGGGGAGATTTGCCAAGATTATTCCTTTTAATTAAAAAACTAGTTGAATTATATGTATATGAGATTATTATTTAAATATATTATACACCTGTAATTGCTTTAAAAAAAAACCCTAAAAAACCATGAGAAATAAAACCAATTGTTCAATACAAGACGAACGAGAGCGTTTTAAAAGTTTAGGTGCTTCATTTGTTCTTGGCCTTGATACGTATGGGCGTGGCTTTACCTTTTTATTTACCCCGCTACGCGCTTAGAATTGACGCGATGACGAAGTGTAATACTGCGCATTGAAGAGTTATTTCCTCGAACGAAAGTGCTCAGAAAATGATTATTGGACTGAAGGTAAACGAAAACTTTTCATAGTATAAATGCAAAAAAAGTATAAAATAATAACTAAGATTGAGTTCCACAAAAAAAATCAATTGTGGTTGAACCGGTTATTTTAATTTCAAAACTACTAAACCGATTTTGATACAACTTCTATGGAACCAAACTGCAAGTATATTCTTTCGGATAAAAAAGAATTTTTCAAATCGGTTCATTATTGATGGTGTTATGAGACAACAAACATAAAAAATACAACCGAATTGAAAGCCTCCTTCTTCTTCAAGTCGATTAAAAAACGTTACTCGCCAGTACGTAGTCGATAGATACCAGATATAATATTTTTACCTACCTAATACCGCAATATAATTATGTAAACTTATAATAAAGATAATTAGATTTTTTATATGTTTGTTTGTAATGATTATCAATTAATAACTACTTAGATGATTTTAAAAATTATCTCACCTATAGAAACTTCATAAAAAAAATTGAGATTTTTACGAAAATTGCAATAATATTATATAATATAGTCCAAGGTATCAAAAATTTGCATATACAAGTCATTATTTGACGTGCGCTGTAAAAACTATTAATGATACATACAATTCTACGAAGCTGCATGTCTAACCAATATCGTTAAGTTACAATAACCGTTTTCTGTACAACTAGTCATTCAAAATACCGGTAGAATCGAAAGATTATAGACCTATAAACTTAGCCTTTTGTTAATAAAACATACTATTACAAATAAAAACACATGTTACTAAATGGTCAAACATGATTATTTGTTGCAAAATTAAGTTGTTTTTAGATATCTTATACAGCACTAGTCATTGCCAATTATATACATGCCACTGTATATTTATTTTGACCGTCGTATTTCTGTAAGAGTTACTTAAAATTTGGTGTATGGTTTATCTTAATACACTATCTAAAATAAGATAGATCTGGCATTGGATTTACTATGGTTTAAGGCCAAATATTGATTTTTGAGATTTTGATCAGACTTGCGGTAAGACGAAAAATTATTATTTTGACTATTTTAATTATTTGAATTATTATCTGACTTATAAATTAGTCATGTAATGATTTCATAAAAAATTAATTGAATTTATATAAATTCAATTAATTTAAATAAATAAACCGGAATATTCCGGTTTATTTATTTAACTCTTTATAAAATATACAATGACAAGTGAATAATTCAAGTAAAATACAGATTCTTTACGATACAATTGCTACAGATGTAATAGAACGGATACAATGCAATAGAAGATCGGACGTCAAGCCTTAAAATTCGGCACTCTTTCTATGCTCACTAATATCATGCAGATTTTCTGACGTTTTGCAACACAAGTTCCTTGTCTAAATACCAGAGACAGATCGCATCACTCAAAGACCCTGTTCGACTCTCTGATATATAATTAATATAAATTTAGATTCACGTATCAAAATTGTAGTTAAATATAAAATATATACACGAATTAAAGAAAATTATATCAGCGATAATTTTGAATTTGAATTATGAAAATCCGTCAAACAGTTTTGGCGAAATATCGATTTTTAAAAAACGATACTTTTTCTTCATGAAAGTTACGTAACTTGTAATACCAATAAATTAATTACACAAACAGTTTAAGGATAGGTCTTTTTATATATTACCCTAATCTAAAAATAATATTTTAAAAATGAAAAGATCATTTTTAAAAGATTAAATTACGCGCCTTGAATTGTCGCAATTACTATAACATACAAAAATCAATAATTACATGAACAAAAAAATGCTAGGACATTTACTTTTCCCTATAAAAATAACATATCGCAAATCAAAATTTATAAAGAAAAAAATAATAAGGTTTTTGTGGGAATGGGCATTAAATGTTATAATAAGATACGAAAGGATACTCTGGATCTACCTTTTAATAAATTTAAAACTGTTATTAAAAAAATTCTCATTGAACAAAGCCTAACACACGATTACTGACACGATTAAACGATTACTTGAATGACAGATCTACATGGTGTTAATCGACCCCGTACGGGCTTTTTATAACTCTATTGTACTCTACATTTAAATAAATACACATAATGTTAACAGATACTTAAAAGAGTGGTTTGTTAAATTTCTTGCAGATTTTTCTCAGCATATAACAATTTACCGGACCCTACATTAATAAAAAATTGCGATTTAAAAATGATTGTAAAAACAAGTCTGTTTGTATAAAAATTATTTGGATTTGTATACCTCTTAAACATTTGTAATTAGACTTCCAATATTAAAAAAAAATGTGAGTTGCATATATTGTAACTTAAAAATATTTAAACTAATATAATTTTACAACTGAATCAGGGATTACTTTTCAGTACTGGCTTTCTGTAGTGTCGGAATACGATTTCTACAAACTACAATACTAGAAATCTGAGGACTATGTTATGACTATGTTATGACTATATATGTGTTGTCTTTTTGAAATCCAGTCTCGATAGCAAAATTAGAAATATAGACGTATCTGGAATTCGATATAAAAAAATAAATAAAAATGATTCGACGTACTTAATAAGAAAAAAGACGACCTGACTGAAAGATAACTTAAATCAAAATATCACTAATGACTTTTTTATAATAAGCGTCAATGAATGATGATGATAAATGATGAATATAAAAACTCCACGTATTGAAAAATGAATCCTGTGTAACTAAAACTTGGCATGGTTGTTTATTGAGTTAAAATAATTTTGTATAAAATTTAAAAAATCAAAAAATCAAGTTATAAAACTATTTATTATCCTTAATATTTTCTTTAGAAATTTTAATATTTTCTTATACTAGTCCGGAAGGAGAGATGCAAATTTTAGTAGTTAATTTTAAAACATTCGCCATTTATTATTTAATAAAATTTAAATATAATTTTTAATATATGCTTATGCTCTTTAAATTAATAGATTGTATTAGAATTCATTAATTACAAGAAAATAAATAAAAACGAGGGACAAGGAAAAACCAAGTGTAGTAATTTTTTTTATTTAGTGATAAAAAATGTATACATTAGATAAAGAAATTCAACAATAAGATCTATAAATAAGTATATCTATAAGTTAATATAAATTGTAATTTCAACTTCAGAGACCGTGATCAAAATGTTATGGAACAAAACAAAATTATCAACACGCTCCATTTGAAGCCACGCCCATAATAGACATTTTTAAATTTAAGATGCAGTAACTGCATATTATTAAAAATGGCACAAATACTGAAAATTAATAAAACGTATTATATATTGTAACTCCTAACTTTATACTTGAACTATATTAATATCTTATCTTTATCAAAATTAAAAGATTGAAGTTTCTACTTCCATTTAATACATATAATCAATTCATTTGTAATTACTTGACATTTTATTATCATATTTGTTGAAAAAAAGTTATGAATATTTACCATATTTCTATAAAAATAATAACGTTACTTTAAAACTACTCTAACTTTGGAGTAGAGAAAATTCATAGGGTTCATTCATTCAGTTTGGTCCTCTTGACTCGATTCAAAGACGAGCTTTGAGAATTGTCAACGATCCTAAGCTCAAAGGCAGTATCAAACTAAAATATTAAATAAATAAATATTAAATAAATTTAAAGCGAGACTTTGCCTTACTTTCTTCAACCACTTGTATAATGCTACGTAACGTATAACACATGCTAGAACTTAAATGATCGCGTCTTGTGCAGTTTCAGCGGACTTTCCCCCGCGAACGCTCAGGCTGTGAAATGAACTCCCTACCGAAGTTTTCCCTGCAGACTACAGTATGGGGTTCTTAAAAAATGGGTCTATTAAGATTATCATAAATTCGTTGAATAGTTTTTGAGTTATAAGTGAAAAAGAGTTTTTATAACATAAAAGATTTCATAAATCTTTAAATATTTTTTATAGTTAAACACGAATATTTTTTTTACCAATGTAACTCCTTTGAATATGCCGTGTTTAAACAAAATTATATAATATATTATACATACAAAACCTGATCTTTTTTATATTTTTAAACCCCAAAAAAAACAACGCCTTTAACTTCTTTTTTTAGCTTTTCGAGACAGCTTCTTTATAGTCACCTTAACCTAATAATTATACCAAGTTTTAAGTATACAGTAATTTTTCCCGCTGTGATTTATTATTCCTGTGCTAAAATATTTATATCAAAATCCAATCAAAACTTATTGGTGACGAAGTTCATTGATTTTTTTATTATTTAAAAATAAATTC